TGGGCGATCACTGTGCTCTTCGCCACAGCCCTATACACCCTGTGCACGCAGAGGGTGCATCGAAGCAAAGTCAGAGGATGTCAAAGGTGACATGTGCCGAGCCGTAGAATTGTTATGAGGAGTTTTTGGATTTAGGGTTTCGGGTTTGGAGCAGCCAAGCAGAGGTCCTTGTTTACACCTTTGGCGTGGTCCTTCGCAACCTGATGGGGGCGACTCGGCTGGCCAGAACGCGAAAAGGGGGGGGGTCTCCTGCTCCCCAGCAAAAGCAGCAAAAGCGGCTGCCCGCTCAGGATGGCTTCCAAGAGCTTGAAACGGTGCCTGCGGCCATGTTCACACTGCGCAAGGCTCAGAGGTCGTCTTGGGTCATCCTACTGAAGCCGCACGGGGTGTGGCCAACTTATTGCCGCAGTCCAGGTTCCGATGCTTCACGGAGGATTGTGCCGCGTACGATGGCACACCGCTTCCCGAGCGTGTTCGCGATTTGGCTGTTGTCCAGAGAGCCGATCTGTTGCTGAGCCGAGTTGCTGATTAGCTAAGATTGCTGAATCTGAAGCTCATGGGTTGGGCTAACCTTTCTATGCTGGACATTGCCCTCTCCCATGACCCCGCGACTCTGCTAAAGCTGCTGAGGCATGTCCCCCACCTATGGTCCTGCACTCAGTTGGAGTCCAGGGTTTTTTTTTAGCAAGAGACTGCCCCTGTTACTCTGAACCCTAAACCCTAAACCCTGAACTTGCATGTCCGATGCAAGGTGGTGGCGTCTTCCTCATCAGCAGCTTGGCTTTGCTGAGGATTTGTTTTGAGTTTCAGTATACAACAGGTTCCCAAATAAGCTGCAACTGATTTGAAGGCTACATCCTGATGATCATGATCGTTTCCGTCGGGGTGTTCAACCTGATCATGGTGCTTTGCTCGCACTAAATCCCAGAGTCTAGATCCGAAAGCTTTTAAATCGCCACGGATGAGAAGCCACGAGCTTGAGGCCATCTTCATCGACAACGCCTCCTCCTCGGTTGCTTATGGCGGCGTCGCTCTCTCGCCCGGCTGAAGCACTGAGCCTTACAACTCCACGATTGAAACCCCGCAGCAAATCCTCCTCCTCAAGATCGCAGCCTACACCCTCTAGAGCCCGAAGATCCGTATGACAACGGGATTCAAAATCCACGCGGGGACGCCTTAAATCCCACTGGAACAGGTCACCGGCTCGCAGCAAGCCCGGCGAAACCGTGAGTTGGCCGAGACTTCCGACCGGGTTCGCCTGACGCTTTGAAGGGTCTGAGAGCTCCTCTGGGATGCTGTAGAGGCCGGTGGAAATCTGGTAATGTGTCTGTAATGACAGGGTCTTGGGGTCACAATAGGTTCTAAAATGGTTTAGGGTTCACGAAGTCGGGGGTGTGTTTTCCTGCAGTAGCAGTAGCAGCAGCGATGTCCGGCAGCGCCAGAAGGGGAGCCCCTGGCATCAGCCACTTGATGGCCAGGTGCGCATCACCATCAAGGAGCACGTGGCAAGGTGGCAGATCTGCACAAAGTCTCTTCACAGTTCCGTGGTTTTGGAAGACCTAGACCCTCCACCAGAAACCCCAATTGTTTTTTGCGGCTTGGGATGCTGCAGGTTTCTTGGCAAGGACATGCAGAAACGGATGACCTTCATCCACGGCACCTCGGCGTAGAGCGGGTGACAATTGACCCTCAAGCGGAAAGTTGGGCAAGGCAAAATAGCTAGCAAGGTGAGCTGTGGTGTTGAGCCGGGACAGCAGCATCATTCATCACAACCTGCTTGCCCCAGGATCAGCAATAAAGCTAGAGTACAAACATCTTGGGGTCGTGATTTAGTTGTGGACGATTTGGCATTTACGGAAGTGGCAGGGTGCCGAACTTTGGTGTTCGTCGTTTCATTGGCTGCATTGAGCTTCACTGACATACTGGGTTAGCATCACAGGTTCAGCGGACTGTGTACTGTAGTGAAACCACACCCAGCTGCCCCCAGACCCTAGGCTCTAACTTTCTTGGCCCACGAGTTCCCAATAGCCATTCCAGCAACGCGCGGCTCAGGCGATCTGAACACACGAATGGACCTTCTAGACGAGCAGCTGAACAAGCAGGAGGCATTCTCATCGCAAGTGGTAGCATCGCTCACTGGCTTTGCGGTTTTATGGCCCTTTAAGTGCTCTTCACGCGGAGTTTCTCCTCCTTTGGCAGACTTCGAGACTTTGCCAGCGGCCATTCGGGTGAGACCAATGTGCAGGTTGTCATCCATCGTGAGTCGTTTCAGCGCTGGCTTCAGGACGCGGTGCGAATTTTTTCTCCAGTCTAGACTTCACCTAGAGCGTCACGAGCCACGTCCTTTTCGAAGTTGAGGGCATGAGACTTTGAGCAGGTTCGACTTGAAAGAAACTGGGAGCTTGAGGAGGTTGAGGATGGTTGCGGGGTCGGTTCAAAGAGAGTTTCGAGTTCGAAGTTTGTGGATGACAATCATGCCTTCAAATCTTGAAATATCTCAAAGCTTTAGCCCGAAGGAAGGTCCAGATCGACTAGTTTTGGATCTTCCCCCCTACCCGCAGCGGAGTGCACTTCAAAGGTCGAAACCTTCGGAGAGTTTGCAAGCATCTGGAGTTTGAGAAACTTGCGACTTTGTGATGGTTGGCATTTCGATTTTGAGAACTCGGCTTTGCGTTAAGGCCTGCGAGTTTGAAAGTATGAGAGTCCCGTGGTGCGCGAGTGTGAGAGGAGATCTAAACACCTAATCTGAAGACACGAATAGCCTCCTCGCCGCAGGATCCGGAGTTCACAGAAGCGCAGCTCGGACTTGACGGTCCGTGTGGCTTTCCCAAAGTAGCGGTACCCCTTTTCTACCCCAAATAAAGTAGAATCCCCTCAAAGGGATCCCCCATACGTGAAAGGCTCCTTTCAGCAAAGATGGCTCATGTGCGGGCTTACTCCTCTTCACTTCTAAGGTTGGAAGAAGCGTACATCGACGTGTCGAACAAGGGCCACTTATTCGACATCATGGATGCTGCACGGACCGCATTTCCTGCGTGCTGTTGAGTGATGAGTGGCATGCGCCAAGTCCCAGATGAAGGGTTCCCATCGAGGCTGACATGGGCGGGCACTTGTCTCTTGACGAGCTAGTGGATGGTCTGATGGCGCTGCGTGGCACTGCCCTTCGCCGCGGTTTAGGGTTTAGGGGGATCCTCTTGTGGAGTCCCCGATATCCCAGAAGTCGCAGGGAAACGGTGAGGCATCTCATGAGCCCCTGCCGCTCGTGACCTTTCCGCTGTTGCAAATCGCTCCTTGAGCCGAGGTCAACAAGGGCGACATCATCAACATGAGCCTCAAGCCTGGAGCCCGGGATGGCCCGGGAGGGCTGCGTAATGTGTTTTTTATCAGACCGTATAGGCAATCGTGTATTTTGTCTTACTTTCGTCACGTCCTAGTCCTGGTGCACCATGTTGACCGTATAATCGTCTTGCTCCAAGAAACTTGTCAATGATGAACAGTTCAAATTCTCAACAGCCATCAAGATAATGACAACGTTACACACAAATATCATAATGTCCGTATCGCTTTGTGGTTGCACGTTAGGGTGGCGTATCTGCCTGAGGATTCGGCTGCTGACCAGACATGTGGAGAGAGTGCTGACCATTGTGCAAAAGAAACTGGCGCCAGGCGCTTTGTTTCCAAGTTGTTGGGTGGCTCTAGGAGTTTGCAAAGGAACGCTCCTTCTCAACGAAAGCCGGAAGCCACGAAGCAATGAAATAGCTGGCGCAGGTGAGTACCTGGAAGACTAGGCCAGCTGCTGCATGTGTCATGTGCTTAAGGGCATCCCGCTGCACCGCATGCGCTGTTGGTAGCGGAGTGTTGAGCAGGCACCCTCGACTCCTCAAGGGATGCGGGGAGACGGCTTTATCGGCATTAGCAGCTTGGCTTTTAACGCAGAAAACTCCCCAGTAGCCCTCCGTCGGTCGAAGGCATTGAGTCATGCCTTCTGTTTTCGGGGCTGGCCCGGCTGCCTTGCCGTTTGCACCTTATGTGGGTTCTTGTGAGCAAGGGCGAATCGCGCAAATCCGAGGTTAACGCGGGCGCAGTCCTCGTAGAACGAACGCGCAGATCTGCGGCCTTGGCAAACACGATAAGGATATGTACAAAGATCAGGTGGAGGAGAGCAAACTGGGTTGTATCCAGATGCTGCTTTGCTCCAATACTGCAGATCGCGCCATGCAGCCTGGTGTTCTCTTGTTTGCGCCAGCAGCTGCCAATTTATGCACTATATCAGCGATAGCGCAAGCTTCAAAGCCCATTCTCCCATGGGCAGAGAAGCCGGAATCTGGTCGCCAGCTGTGCAACCCGTTTTCGCTCAGTAGAGGTTGAAATAGATAGATCCAAGGTTTGTGGTTAAACTTATGAATATAATTATTATTGCTATTATGAATTTTGTTTTAATGTTGTATATATATATATATTATCAGGAACCTTACTATTCTGGATAATAATGGTATGTTGCACTTCCTCATCTGGCACAGCTGGAGGCTGAGTCTGGCACCCGAAGGGTGGCCATTGGCTAGCGGCGGGACGAAGGTTTTCCTGCTGAAAAAAGGTTGGTTTAGGGTGTAGGGTTTAGGGTTGAGGGTTGAGGGTTTAGGGTTTAGGGTTTAGGGTTGTTTGGGCTGAGTGCCATACGGTATGCCAGGGCGGAGCTACAAGAGCCCAGAGAGTTCCCTTGTTCTTCCCTACTTATGAGTCCCTATTACTCCTGTTACCGCAGATTACCGCCCCCCCCCTCCCCTTAACCCTTAACCCTTAACCCTTAACCCTTAACCCTTAACCCTTAACCCTTAACCCTTAACCCTTAACCCTTAACCCTTAACCCTTAACCCTTAAACCTTAACCCTTAACCCTTAACCCTTAACCCTTAACCCTTAACCCTTAACCCTTCACCCTTAACCCTTAACCCTCAACCCTCAACCCTCAACCCTAAACCCTAGACCCCAAACCCTGCCTAGGTGCCGGTTCCCAGCCGAAGCCGGAGCCTGGGGGGAAGAATGCTCACTGTCGGAACGTGTGTGTAGTATAAAAATAGTATGCAATATACAGTATTAAGATATAATAGATAAACAAAAACTCGATACTATCAACAGATTATATATATATATACAGATATATAGGAAAATCATAAACTAGAAATATACCTTTAAGAAGAAAACAAAGACGTTCCGACAACAAAAGGAAATATACATATGAATAATGGATAAGTATAATATATATATATACTTAACATATTGTATACAAGGCAAAGGAAGGTACTAGCTGAGAGTAAGGCGGCGCAGTGCCGCCTCGCCGTTGCGTGGGGGACTGGCAGCAGAAACAAAAAGCAATCACAATCAAAACAAAGCCGCCCATCAAAACAAGTTAAACCACCATCAAGAACATCTAAAGAGGAGTTCCCCTTCTAAATCACAGAAAGAAAGAAGGACAGCAAGATGGAGAGACAGAGCCTTTCGGCTTTCTAGGCTTGTTGTCCTCATGGCCTGGCCTTCAGCTTCCCTAGCTCAGCAGCACAGTACGGCTACACATTGTTGCGTCGGCTATATTGTGTTACTAGGACTCTGTTACTGGTGCTACTGCTATTGCCGTTGCTTGTTCCTGGCCCCTCCCCCCTCTGTAATATTTGGATGCCGAATTGTGAAATATAAATATAGATATGAATATTGATTTCAATATAAATATAAAGCAACAACAATATAAATATATAAATATGTATATGTACACAGACATATATCTCTATGTATATATCTATGCATAATATTTATGTGTATATATATAGAGATATGTTATGAAGATAGAGAGAGAAAGAAAAATAGAGTAAGAACGAGCGAGAGACGGAAAGAACGGAGAAAACAAAGATATGAAAAAAAACGGCAGAAGTGAAAAACACACAAGAACAACGACGCATACATACTTGCTGACTTCGTGGTTTCTGACTTTTCTGTTGCTTTAGAACAAAGCCAACCCAAAGCCGAAGCGCAGGCAAGTGAACCCTTGGAACTCAGCAAAAGCACTCGGCAAGGCCAACTGCTCCTAACCACGACGCAACATTCTTGATGGCGACTTCGTGTTTGATGTCGTTATTTTTTGTGAGACCTGCTCTGATAAGACGAAAAGAAAGAAAAAGGGGATAAAGGGGAGCATATTGGAGGTCCGACCTCTGCAGCGGATGCAGTGGCAGCAGCCTTGCCCAGTTTGGAGGCTCGTTCTGTGACATCTATTTTCCTCTTTTGTGGTTTTTTCCTGGGCTTGTGTGGATACGGCATATGAATGTACTCGTATGTAGATGGTGTGGGATGAATGGGGTTGATACGCATGCAACTGAGCTGCCAGGCGTCCAAGCGCTGCATTGTCGCACAGGCAAGTTGTGTGGATCGTTGTGGATTCCTGGCTTCAAAGGTTTCACGCTTTCGCTCGTTCTGACTCAGCGAGGCTTATTTTGAGGCTTGAGGCACATCGCGTTCATCATGAACTGGACGTTGCTGTGCGTGTTGTGGAGATGCAGCAAACGCCCTCCTTGCAGGCCATTGCCGTCTCCTTCGATTTGACTGCCATGGAGGCCGCACGTGCAGGAGCATCTTGGCTCAATCCGAAACTGCATCTCAACCGAGATTCCATGTGACTCCCATTTGCGATTGCGCGTGCCGCATCCCAGGCATTGGCGGCAGGCCTTGACATGGCTCGGCTGCCCAGAGACAGGCAAGCAGGCAGACACAGAGAGAGACACAGACAGACACAGATAGACGCTGACAGACAAGACAGAGATAGGCAGACCGACACAGAGAGACGCAGACAGACGCAGACAGACGCAGACAGACGGAGACAGACAGAGACAGAAGGAGACGGACAGACACAGGAGCCAGGGAGACAAAGACGCAGACAGACGGACAGACGGACGGACGGACACACACACGTGAGGTAGGGTCTGAATCAGTGTGTTTTGGCGAGTGTATATAACATTCTTCCTTCTGAATATTGGTGGTGTGTGTGGCTACTGGGTGTCTGTTGGTGCCCCACACGAAGACCGTTGGCATGGTGTTTCAAAGCTTGATGCGTCTTGCGGTAACCCTCGGCAGGCTTCTGCAAAAGCGTTGCTCTGCAACGAGTTATGTAGAGGGATGTTTTCTTCTTCGCCCGTGGGGCGTAGAACATGAACATCCTACAGCAAGTTCAGCAAGCTTACACCAAGGCCGCGTACAGCCAAGTGCTACAGACCATCTCAGAGGACTCTGCAGCCATAAGCTCCGTGTTGGGGAATCAGAGCTTCATAGAGCTTCGAGCCAGTGTTCAGACTGAAGCGTGTCGTACGGGCAGAAGAGGAATGTCATCCGTTGCCATCCTAACACAGTGTCCTGCCTTGCAGTCCGCCAACACCCCAGAGTCCTTCAGCTCTGAAGTGGCCCCCATCACCGGCTGCCGCCTCAGTTGAATTCGTGGAATCCTCAGCGTAGGCTTGCAGTGCTTCAGCGACTTGAGCGTCTTTGCACACGATGCAGTTCCGAGGAGCCCTGAACGCCACAGAGATGCAGCGGGTGAGCCGCGCCCCCAGAGGCATATGCCAGCAACACGTCGTCCGATTTCAGGTGCGCCCTGTGCTCTATGCCTCTCTGGTGCGCCTTGCTGTGTGTCCCACCCACGTGCGTCGCGCGAGGTTTGGCGTTTGCGGCATTTTTGGAGCGCTTCTCCTGGGAGGGTGACCTAACCACGCCGCTGGCTGCTGCCAAGCCCCCGGTATGTTTGCTGGGGGGAGGGACCACACAGGACCACTATGTGGGTGGTTGTCAAAATTACGGTCCTTTTTTGGATCCCCATTGTAATTCGGCACCTAATAGTTATAGGGTACCCGAAAAGGGATCGTAATTTGGATAACCACTCATGTTGATTCTACAGCTGGCTCAAGGCCCTGCTCTCCGCAACTGCTGGCAATGATGTCGAGTACTCGACGTCCTGCCTCTCAGTTTCTCAAAGTTTAAGAGCGCTGCGGGGAAACGGTTCATATTGCAGCCCGCCGGGGGGCGCGGCGCTACGTATCCCTCTGTCCAGACTGCCTGTGCCTGCGATGTCCGTGCCAGGGCGCTGCTGTCGCCCTTGGCGGTATGCGTGGGAGCTGAGCTGTGGGAGCTGGTCTTGTCCTCAGAGGCTCTTGCGTTCTGGACTTCTCATCCTACCCCTAATCCAAGAACCCCCGCGAAACGAAGGTCGGAGCACTGCAACTCGCACTTGGGGCATCCCTCAACCAGACCTCCATGGTGCTGGGCCAGGCAGGGCTTTTGAAGGGAACTGCCACAGCAATATCTGGCACAGCAAAGTCCGGTCGAGCTTGCACGTGCCGCGACTTCTCTCGCTGCAAATCTGGTATCTGATTTGTTGTTGGCCCTGACCAGGCCGCATTGGCAACTGGTGAGGCCCGATGCAACTTGAGTGCAGGAAACTGACGCACGCCCTCGTATGCCGCGGGGTTGCAGCACTACTGGGATATCGGCCACAAAGCAGCTGAGTAGCATGCCACATGGTCAAGTCTGCACACATTGTCTAGAGCCTAGAGTCTAGAGACAGTTGTTTCCTGTGATCTAACTGATATAGATATGAGTGTAAATATAAGAAGATCTAAAAATATAGACATAGATGTATATAATATATAGATGAAAATACACATATATACACATGCATGCATACATATATATATATATATACGCACATATATATATATGTGTATATATATATATTCATATACATATAAATAATCTAGACTGTCTGGCAGCTTTCAGACACTGCCGGCCCACTCAGCGCGCGATGGAGCCGATCCAGGCTCGGCACGCGCAAGGACCTGGGATGGCTCGGGCCGCGCCTTTCAGCGGCAAAATTAGGGTTTAGGGTTTTAGGGCCTTTAGGGTCTTTAGGGTTTAGGGTTTAGGGTTTGTGACCATGAGATCATCGGGTGCTCCGGTGTTTTTTGGTTGGTCTTTCACTTGATTCCACGACATGGCATCATGGTGTCTAAGGCGAGTGGTCTGCCTTGCTGCCACAGTCTGGGGTGTGGGCGGCCACACTTCTGAGGTGCAGGGTGATGTGGTGCCAAAACCGTTTCCTGAAGCTGCGTTCGATTGCCCGAACACTTTGGAGGGGCATTTCGATTGTGGGAAACAGCTCGGCGCCCATTTCGCCGAGCTGATTGGCGAGGCATTCAGCTCTGACATCACACTTCAGAAGCTTTATCAAGAGATTGCGCCCGCAAACAGCACGGGTGCAAGGATGTTCAAGATGTTGGCCGACATCAACGCTAGGCGATACCCACTTCTGATGCAGGAAGTGCATGGCATCGCGGAGGGCAGCGGGCAACCGCGGGACTTCATACTGCTCGCCAACATTCGCCAGGAGGTGGAGACCGCACTTGCCAGCGCGTCAGTCTCCAGAGTTCCTGACGCTTGCACGGACGTGATGGTTGTTCGAGAGGGTGTGGCAGGCTTCGCGCACAACGAGGACTACGACAGCCTCTTCTTCAACAAGATGTATCTTGTCCGGCAAACCTGGCGCTCCACTTCTGCGAAAGAAAGCGTGTCGTACGTGTCGTTCACCTACCCTGGTGTCCTCCCAGGTTGGGCACCGGGTTGGAACAGCCATGGGGTGGCCATGACGTGGAATGTGTTGTACCCTTCCGAGTTGAGGCACGGTGGCGGTGTTGCCGTGGCGTTCGTGTGTCGTGACGTGCTCGAACGGTCCCGGTCGCCTCAGGAGGCCGTGTCGCTGGCCTCGCCAAGCGATCTGGCATTGGGGCAGAACCTGAATGTTGGAGTTGTTGGTGCTGTTGCTTCCGATGGCTCCGAGCTGCTGACAGCGGAGACGGCTCCGGGCGGCCAGTCGAATGTATTGACGGTGAATCGGACGAGTGGCACCACTTTCCATGCCAACGAGTACCTCCGCATGACGCACATCCCGCAGTCGACGTCCTTCTTGACCAGTAGCAAGCACCGGCGGGCGACATTCGAAGCTGCGAAGCCAAAGCCGCGCAGCATGGCAGAGGCTTTGAACATGTTGGGTGACACCAGCGACAGCAAGTACCCCATCTTCCGCCGCAACGATGCCACAAAGGAGGACACGCTCTTCACCGTCGCCTTCGATCTTCGGGCTGGCGAAGTTACCGTGTACCGGAGCAACCCGCGACTTGGTGCTGCGGCCGTTGTCCTCCAGGAGAAGCTATGGCCTGCCAGGGCAGGAAGCATGACGAGAGTTTTTGTTTGAGTGCCAGCTGCCAGCTTTTTTTTGAAACGACAGAGTCTGCATGTGCGGAAGTCACCTGCATTCGGTGAATCTGCTTTGAAGTTTTCATTGTCCTCGTGTACAAAGCACGTGTTCACCAGCACATTGCCGGTAGATGGAACTAATCTGAAATAATTCAGGTTCGCACTTGTGTGGGGCGGCTCTGCTCAACACTTGTTTCTTGCATTGACGTGTTTCAACTTGGGAGCTCTTTTCCAACTTCAATTCGAGTTCGCTGTTTCCGGTTGCGGCGAAAATGACCTGCGACTGCTTGATTTCCCTGACAGAGCCTACAGCTTGGGATGTCCCCCCTTATACCAACTGTCCTTAATACGGATTACAGTACCCCCATTAGAGTCCCTGTTAAGGACTGTTGGTATATGATAAGGGGGGAACATCAGGGACATCCCAACCTACAGCAGGTTTGAGCCATCAAGAAGCCAAATGATCACTCTGCGTTGCGTGAGGCTGCAGACAGTCCCATCGCCCAAGCTGCTTCAGTCCAAGCTGCCGTCGCGTCCTCAACCTCAGGCGGGCTTCAGGCAGCGCCTCGGGTTCATGTGCCTTCATACACGGGGGTTTCCTAAATTAGGGGTACCCTAATGGGGTCCTTATGATAAGAGAATCCTACCATATTTTGGGGGTCCCCCATTTTCGTAGATGCCCATGTATCTCTCAAAGCTGGGATGCTGGCTGTGGTCCAACAATCCGAGGTCAGCCGTGCTCGCTCGAGAAGCGAGGACACCCTCATGGTACGTTCTACCCATCGATTGCTGTGATGCACACTCTGCAAACAATACAAGTAGCAAAGACTTTATGGGCGAGACGGACTCGCCAGCATTATCTGAGTTTAGTTGTCCCAGTGAAGCAGGAGGCTGCGACACTTTGGGCAACCGGCCCGAAGCTTGGCATGAGCGAGAGCGAGAGAGAGGATGAGGTCAAGGAGGCAAGAGAGCGGTGCTTCTGTTGAAGCTTGATTGGCTCGAACTGGATGCCCGACGGCCCCCTGCCTGCATCTTTGGACCCAGCTTATTTGTCATCTTGAGATGGAAATCAGCCAACCGGATGAACCCAGCCTTTCGGAGGCCGGTCCCACGGCCACTCGGATTGCCGGAGCAGCCCACAAGCACCGGCACAACAGAATCAGTGAAATTCAGAAGGGCAACGGACGAAAACCCAAGGCAAGGTCTTAAAAGATCGCTCCGGCTTCAGGACCACCACGCTTCACGTGGCCTATGGCAGGTTCCCGATAAGGTTGTGGTCCTTTCGGGGATGGGGGCTTTGCGATGATTATTATGGGTATTAAGTTGCCGAGCCTTACGTGTAGGGCAATGTTATATATATATATTTATTTATTTATTTACTTGCTTATTTTTCTTTATGCATGTTTCTTTGTTTCTCGGGACCTGTATTCAGCAGCTCTTCACGACATGAGCTTTTTCCGAAGGAAGACAGTCTAAGGTCTAAAACCGTCTAACCCCGACTTCTGCAACAAAGTCCGCGTATGACCTTCGCAAGTTGAGATGATTCGAGCCCAGGCTCCCAGTACCTGCCAGTCACGCCCAGCGCCGGCCTCTCCGCCTGGAGGGCTCTCAAGGCAGCCTGTGAAGTTCGTCTTCTGGATCCTTCACAGAGGTGAGGTTTGTGATGGTTTGAGCTTATTGGGGTAACAAGTGGAGGGTTTTTCAGGTTTTCAGTCAAGGGGCGGTGGAGAAATGCAGCCTTCTGAAGACCCGCAACACAACAGACGCGCCGTAGTCGGAGTCCTTCACCTGCCCCTTGCCCTGTGCCAGATGCAGGAGGCTGGCAACGCCAGCATCTCCGAGTTGGCCCAGAAGGTTGCCACGCTTTGGGGTTTAGGGATGTTTAGGGTTTAGGGTTTAGGGTTCAGGGTCAAGTGCTGCTTGGAGATGTCTGGGATTTCAGCAGGGTTTTTGGGGACGTCAAGATCGGGGTTGTCTTGCCCGCAGGTCGAGCAGGCTGTCCTCAATGTGACAGGTCCGCTACTCGACTTTCTGACACGTTGGCTTTGGCCGGTTCAGGTCAGGCAAATCATGATACCATATGATACTATCACCGCCTTGCCGTGACCGCAGGTGCTTCTGACATCGCAACGCTGGCTTCCGCAACGCAATTCGTTCTCTCCTCATCCGTTCCAGGCTTCCTCCGCAAGCACGGCGCACTACTTGAAGGTTCCTGGGTTTTGGGGTTGATTGGGTTAAGTCGGTTAAGTTGAAGGGTAGTGGTGTTCACCCTTCAGGTACTTAAAGTTACCCGCCAACTCAGGCTGCAGCCTATGCCGTCGCGGACTGGGCATGCTTTGTGCAAGGAGCATGAGTGAGTCCTGCCTGTTGTGAGTTCAGTCAGGGTCACTGCCTCCCTCCTGAATGGGATCTAGAATCTAGAATCTAGAACAAAATGGTTTTGGAGAGACTTTCAACCATGACCTCCTCCTCCTGCTCTGAGGGCTTCAGCGCCGAGGACGCAACCCAGGCAGTCATAGAGGTCCGCGCCGCACTCCGCCCGACCATATGGGCAGTGCTCCACATCTCCGTTTTAAATTAGAACCATTTCACTCCAAAGGAGGCACAGTGTGGGGACCTGCCCATATGACACCTTGCTGACTTGCAACTTGTGCTCCCTCTGAACCCGTAGAGGAGAAGAGTGACATGCTGTTGTACTCCTCACCCCCGAAAATCTCCCACGTTTGTGTTGTAACCCAATCGTACTCGCACCCGAAGTTGAGACGCGCAAAACCCTAAACGAATCCAGAAAAGCCCACAACTCTGCAAGCCACGACCAGGCCAGCGGCAGCGTAGGGTATGCGGTGTTCCTGGCGGCCGCCTGGCCGGCCGGGGTGCCCGTGCCCGGGCCTCACAGCGAACCAAAACAAGTAAGAACTCAGCGCTTGAACCCAAACCCTATTTTCATATCATTATATGTATATGTATATATATATATATGTATGAACCGATGCATGAGCGCCAACGCAAGCAGTGGACGAAAAACGACAAGTTGCAAACTGTGTGATGCTGGGGATCATCCGGGGGTATACGCGGTCCTGGGATGATATGGGTGGGCACAGCAATGATCACCTGAGGGTGTCACTCCGGAGTTCATTCCAAAGTAGGCGCTGAGGTGGTAGGAGGAGGGCACCCGGGCGTGGGCAGGGTCAGGAGAATAGCGTAACATGGTGAAGCTCCACACTGACGGTAATGACTTCTTTGCGCTACTTTTGTCGGAGTGTTCGAGCAACATAGTCCGAAGCAGGTCGAGCAGCTCCTCCTCTGCTGTGCTTGCGACCTCTACAGCCTTGACGACGCTTGGCGCCGTTGTGTCTAAAGTGTCTCACGACATGCCATCTTTGCAACACACACACACACACAGATGTTTTCGCCTAGGTTGGACCAGACAGTGTGCACCTCAGCACGTCTAGGATTGTTTCTGGAACGACGTCGGTCTGCACAACTCAGAATGTGCAGCAGGCAAACTCCAGCCCGTGTCGGCATGTGTCGACATCTGGAAACGAAACGATCTGTGAACAGCCAGCACCTTGGTTTCTTTGCGGAGCATAGTCTGGCAGGGCGGTTCACAGAATAGAACACATGATCTTCCCAACTTACTTTGTTGGACAATCCTGAGCAGCAACGCCCGCAGCACCTTCCCATGCAGATGCTATGACGCTTCTTGCAGCATGTCCTGCTGGACAGGTCTGCATGGCCGAGCGATGTGTGCGCCATCAAATTGGGCTGGGACCTTGGGTAAAGGCAGAAACAGTGTCGCGATTGTAGCGGAGCTAGCAGCTACGCTGGTAATTCGTGGCGGCGCCTTATGATGCCTCGTCTACTCGTCTTGTCCCGCAGAAAGACACAGTCGTGCTCATTCCATCAGAATCCTGCTCCCTCACTCCCCCCTCCACGTCCCCACATGAGGCCTTCATGAGAACTTCACGACCTGCGACGACTTCTGCGGTGGACAGTCGACCGTGGCTCTGCGGGGGCAGCCCAGTTCGGGAACAAAGGGGTTGTAGCTCATAATCATAATCGTATTTATCGACTATCAGATACTGTATTACATTGCATGACGCTGTGGTGTATTGAACTGTACTGTCTGTATAGGGTTTATGATACATGTATAGTCTGCACATAATCATTGCACGCAACGATGTATATATATATATATATTATATGGCCACATACATATATATATATATACACCTGTATATATGCATATACATACACAGACATTGAACCATATATATATATATATAGACTAGACATTTTAGGAGGCTCGAAAAGGTGTCCCATATTGGTTCGCTCTCTTTCTTAAGCCTTGGAAGGCCGATGCGTTGCCTCGACTTCGCCCCGGTGGCGTCTTGCGATGCAAATCGCACACAGGCCTTACGTCAGTAGGCAGCTCGAAATTGTAAAGGCCATGGGCTTCAAGCAGTGATCTCTTCGAGCGTCATCATAACTTCAGAGTGCTCGGTAGCCATGGCAAAGGCTAAAGGTTCAGATCCGAGTGAGGAAGCCGGCTCTGCTTGCAGCCATCGGTCAGTGTCGCACTGCGCTTCGTTTGAAGGTGATGCCCGATCCATGCCGCTACACCACACAGCAGGCAGGGCTTGGCAGCCGGCGCTGGGGGTTTACCGGTGGGACGGGTTTGATGGCAAGAGCTTGGTGCTCCCCGCAACAGTACAAAGATGAGGTGGGTTTACGAAGTGCAAAGGGGCTCTTTCCGCATGCTTCAGAGAGTTTAAAATTTCAACGCTGATGATTCTGTTGCAACATGCAGAGGTGAGCAACATACACGTTTCATGCTTGCTTGTGCGGGCTCAATTCAGCGGCCTTTGAACCTCATAGCAATCCAGCAGCCATGATTCGAGCTTTGAGCGGACTCCTATGGCTGGATGCAGCCTCGCAAGCGGGTGCCTGCACTGTGTTTGCAGTGGGCAAGATGGCCACGAAGGACTTTGTTGTTGCAAGAACTCCTGCTTCTCCTGAACGAAATCGACTGAGTGGTAGAGTTGGTACTGGTACAGAGAGACAGACGCTGAGCTAGTTTGGCATGCTATGGGAAGCCATCTGCTTTGTCAGGACGGGTCTGTGCTGATCTCGCACTCAGGCTGCTCGACTGCGTGAAGTTGCTATGCTGCTACACAGAGTGGCAGAATGAGGCAATAGAGCCATTTTGCCAATCGGTTGCTGCCACAAATTGGCTTACTCCATGGTCCTCAGCTCTTTCAAGGTTCGTTTGCTTCAGGCTTCACGGTGCATCCTCAAACCCATAAACTGGTGCATACTTCTTTCATGACCTCAGATGAGCGACTGCAGATATCGCTGGAGAGTAGCTTCAGAGATGGACATCATTGCGTTCTTGAGCAGCTTCTATTCTACATACAGAACGATAGGTGGCACGCAGAAAAGAACCAAAATACTGAGCAATTTAAGTGATTCCATCCTCCGTGGTACTGTAGGTGTCGCGGCGTTTATCCTGCAGACCGGTAGGGGAAAACAGAAAACGACAACCCTGACTCCATGCCCTTCAGTCTAAGAACTGTTCAGTCCAACACATGATCTGACTGTAGCTCAGATGATGGCGACCCTACGAACGACGCCAGGGCCCTTGACACGTCCATGCCTGCAGATTTAGGACTTGTCAGAGTCTGTGCATCTGCAGCCAGTTGCAGAATCAGACTGTCACCTGATAGCCCCCCCCAAGCCTGGTAGCATACAGTAGCCGTTTACACAAAGAGTCATCTTGAAACCGAACACCGCGACCAGGCTCGCCTCCTTTATGTGCCAGCTGCAGATCACCAGCCCCATGAGAAGCGGCCAATCTACTACACTGCGGAGACCTTCCCGCGCTACCTGGGGTGCCCTGCACGCAGCTGTGCCTTCTCGCTCCGGCATTTAAACTCGCGTAGCGCATGTCCCAGGAGCCACATGGGCCCCGACTACCGCCCAAATGCGGACACCAAAGGGTACAACGTGTCCGAGCCCATTGGCTACATCGATCAGGCACTGCCAGATGTGCGAACTTCCGCTCTCGTGCATGCAATGCGGGAAAGCTCTTATTATTAATATTAATAATTGTTATTAATATGATTAGTATTAGTATTAGTATTAGTATTGTTATTATTATTTTCTTACCATTGCTTTTTTTGTGTGACCAGCCTCGGCTGGCGCAGGTGCCGCACACATTTGGATATCAGAGCGGAACATATGGCGTGCTGAACGAGCATGGTGCCTCTTGGCTTCAGCCATTTAACTCCTTTTTGTGCTAACAGTCGCAATGTGGAGCGCGAAAAGATGCAGAATGATCACCAATATGGGTATTTCCCAAGATTGGAGTACCCCTTGTACACCCCAAATGAAATCGAATCCCCTTAAAGGGACCCCGGGTACCCCTATTTTCGGAAAACCCTATATTGTCGCGGGCCCTCCTCCTCAAAGCCAACCCAAAGCCATGTTCCACGCAAGCCCACCCACACTTCAAGTCCTAGACGGTCCTACACACTAGTCCCAAAGAGAGCCCTAAACACCCCCCCGAGAATCTACTATCCTAAACCCTGTTACTCGAACATATCGAAACCCGTTAGGCCCAAAAAGCCTACACTCGGATCCCCCCCCCAAAAAAATATAATACAAAAAAAACAAGAACAGTAGACAAAATAAAGGACTAGACCCTGGACCCCAAAATGAAGAACCCTAAGCCTCCAAACCTCAAACCTAAGATAGACCCCACCAAAGCCATAAACCGGAAACTGAAACTATTTGGCCTCCACCCCAAACAGCCTAAAGCCCAAACCGTAAACCCTACACCCTGCAAGAAACCCTGAACCGCCTGAAAACAACCCTCAATCCTGGACCCCAAATTCCCCGACCCGGACCTCGGCCTAATGTATTTACTACAAAGTTAACCTCCCAAATTTTTGAACCCTAAACCCCAAACCCCAAAACCCTCACCCCGCCCCTTCCCAAACCCAAGAAAAATGAACGAACGAAGCTAAGCCCAGAACCCTCAGTCAAGCCCTAAGACACATAAGCCAAGAACCCTCACCAAAACTCAAGCGAACAAAACCCTAAACCCCCTAAGCCAAACAAAACCTTAGCCCTATAAGCCCTAAACCCCTCCCCAAATCCTAAACCCTAAACGCTATACCCTAAACCCTATACCCTGCACCCTGAACCCTGAAGCCTAAACCCTAAACCCTAAACCCCAAACCCTGGACCCTAGACCCTAGACCCTAGACCCTAAACCCTAAACCCTAACTAAGCCGAATTCAGGTCTCTGTGGCAGAATCGACCTGTGGTGCCGTCTTTGGCACATGCGGCCGCGGATCCACCGCGGCTTGGCGGTTTAGGGTTTAGGGTTTAGGGGTTCAGGGGTTTAAGGTTTAGGGGTTTAGGGGTTTAGGGGTTTAGGGGTTTAGGGGTTTAGGGGTTTAGGGGTTTAGGGGTTTAGGGGTTTAGGGGTTTAGGGGTTTAGGGGTTTAGGGGTTTAGGGGTTTAGGGGTTTAGGGGTTTAGGGTGCACCGTAAGTGTTTGGGGCTTCAGGGATTCAAGTTTGGGGCAGATCTGGGCCGGGCCTTCTAAATTGTGGTCCTTTGGCTGGGCATCCGGAGTTTTTTCTCCGTATGATAATGGAAAACTCCGAAAGGGACCACCAAATCTAGCGAACTGGCCATGTTTCGGTTTTCTCCCGTTGCCGAGGATCTGACTTAGGGATCTTTTCTCAGAGGGTCAGCGCCAAATCCTTACCCTGATAGCTCAAAGCATGATGTTCCCTCAACCCCCTGAAGCCAGCCTCTTGACCCCCACCCTCCCTCCTGCAAGATGGGGCCTTGCAGAGGTGGGTTGCGAGCCTGGCCGGAAAGTTGGAGCAGCGTTGATGAGAATCTGGGCTGAGACCCTTCAGGTTGCTGAGCCGAGGTTTCGAATGTATCGGATATATCAGGCATGGATTGCGGGCTTTTGTCCCGGGGGAGGTGTATGGAATGAAGACCTGCTGCTGAAGGTTTGGATTGTGCCGAGACTTTGTCAAGCATCGGTTGGGAGCCCACCTCTCCTTTCAAACTTGTGAGAGCTGGGAAGTGAGGCATCGACACGCTGTCCTATCTCGCCATGGAGCGCACCCGCACGTCCCGTGAAGCGGTTGAGCTCATGGGCGCGCTGGCCTCGAAGTACGGCCCCTTGGACGCCGTGCGGGTGACGTATCGACGCATCGTGCACTTTATCCGTGCGCACATGCAATGAGTGTGACACAAGCATGCACAAGCTACTGTATTCATGTACTCTATGATGCTGGTACGGGCTGGTGCGTCGTAGTTGGCAACGCAGCTTGGGCCGAGGCTTCTACGGGCCGCCAGATTCATTCGAAGGCTCAGGAGAGTCTCTCATTGTCGGAGATCCCGACGAGGCTGGAAGTGAGGGGAAGTGGTGGAAACTGGCGCTTCGGAAGAGACACTTTCCCAGCTTCAACTTAGGCCTGGGCGTTCCAGATCCTTTCTGACCCCACTGGCACCAGCGCCATTTGGGCTGCCAAGCGCTTGCCCGACGACCAGATGACTGTTGTGGTGCGGCGCTTACCACGAAAGCTCTGTGGACTGTCAACGCTGATAGATATGTGGATCGGCCCTCATTTAAGTAGGCTTTGGCCAAGTAGATCCCGAAGGCACCGGCTCCTCATGTTCATGAGCCATCCCCGTAACCCAGAAGTCATTTGGAGCAGTCCAGACAGATGCGAGATTTACTGGTATACCGCCAATGAAAAATAGTAGTATATACATATATATATATATATATAATCATATAGTGATATGAATGCAGGGCCCCGGACCTAGAAGCGGTACGTGGTGAAAGTTTAGCTGCCGTGCTTCTCAGCATCTCGGACCAGGCAAACATGTATACCATCCGCGAGGTAAATGCTGACGACAAGGACCCAACATGTGCCTGGTATGCTTGGGGGGGGGGGGGGAACGGCTTGAATAGGTTTGTTCCTGGCAGGAGAACTTTATCGTGTCTCCGAACATCTTCGATGTGGCCAGCAGCAAGGGATGGCGGCTCAACTGTCGACAGTTGAACCCCGGACTCCCTAGGGCAGGTCGCAGCACCATCCCGCAGAACCATGTGTTTGACACCCGCAAAGCCCCTACACAGCTCTCTCTCAGAAATTTTGAGCTCCCAAATAGTAAGAAGACTAATGCTACTACATACAAATGTACATATATATGTATAATGTATATAACAATAGTGATATACAGTATTATAAGTACATAACAGACAGCATATCTGTTAAATCACAGCAATGGAAAAAGGTGGAAGCAGGGCCAGGCCTTCGACTTCACCCTGATGTACTCTGCCGGAGAGCCTCTCGGCATGAGAGAGTCAGAGCTGGAGGCCGCGTGGCACTTTTTCTACGACTTTGATTACCATTGTTGTTGTTGTTGTTGTTGTTGTTGTTGTTGTTGTTATTATTTATTATTATACCATTGTTATTATTGTTGTTATTGTTATTGTTATTATCATTGTTGTTTGTCATTATTACGTACTACGAGTATGATTACTACTCTTATTGTTAATATTGTTGTTGCTATAGTATTGTTCTTCTTCTGGTTATTGTTGTCATTAATACTACTGTGATTTGTATGACTACCAGGTACGCGCACAAGTACTACTCGGGAAGGAGGATGTGGCGGGGTCTTCAGATGGCGAAGCCATCCCTGAAGCTGCCAACCTCCTACGAGGACTGCTGTTGATTGCGGTTGCCTGCTTGTCTTCCTGTGCCTCCCCCCTTCTCCTGGTGGTCCCAGTGAGTTTTGAAGACATAAAGCTCCATCCTCGCGTAGGACATCCGGTACAAGCCCGTATACCCCTGGTCGGTCACGCCTGACGCCAAAGTCTCCCATCATGATCTCATGGCCTGGCACCGCGACTGGTGCCCCGGCATCCGGAGAAACACAAGCCATGTTACATATCTAATCATGACCACCCGTACTACTAAAGAACATGTGTCATGTGACCCCACAAAACGCTCAGGTATGCTGGGACCGAGTTCGCCCTGGCCTTAGATTGTGGTTTTCAAACAACAGCAGGGCCGATTTCTGAGGCGTGGGGCCCTGCACCTGAAGGTTCCTGCAACTTAGGGTTTAGGGCCTTTTTGGGGTTCAGGGGTAGTAGTCGCAAGGGTCTATGACCTTACTCAGAACCGTGAGCCGAGGACATGACCAAAGGTGTCCAAGCCGGACCATTCGGGAGCCCAGACAGGTACCAGACAGTTTCCAAGGCACAAGGGTTTAGGGTTTAGGGTTTAGGGTGTTGGGGTTTAGGGTTTAGGGTTTAGGGTGTTGGGGTTTAGGGTTTAGGGTTTAAGGTTTAGGGTTTAGGGTTTAGGGTTTAGGGTGTTGGGGTCTCATTGCTGTTCTCCCTGGGAGAGTGTGCTCTTCATCCGCCCTATCCATGGCATAAAACGATGAGACATGAAGCTTTTCAGGGTTGTGATAGTCAATGTGACCCAATCCGGCCCTGCCACCCTTGCCCTATCGATGCTAGTTCGATGCTGAAGTTAAAACTCCAGAATCTTAGTCTTCCGCTCTGCCGACAGGGACATCTCACAGGTGTGAGGTCCAAAAGGAAAGGAACATGTTGGAGACTCCTTTGACCATTCGAAGAAGATCCTCCTAACAAAACATCCAAACAGTCTGGAGGTCCAAGGCCACTGGGAGCGATCGATTGCGCTCTACCGCACCAACGCCGTGTACGCCCAGGACTCGGATCTCCCATATGTAGTAGCAGAGGCAACTATGCACCAGCGCACGGCGGTGTGGCATCATCCCGGGTGGATGCAGAGGGCTCCTGAAGAACCGGGGTCCAGATGCTAAGGTTCAGCAGCTGCATCATCCAGGTCAGGGCCGCCCGGAAGGCCAGCGCAATTTTGGTTTCAAATGTGAAGGCTCTCAGAATGTTCATGGGCAGTGACTTGTCAGAACTAGGTATGAAGTCGGACTGATTAAATTCTCTCTGTTTGCTCATTTGTTGGCCAGCTTTGCCAGGAACTGCCAGCGTTGCCTGGTATGCTGCGGGACCGCCCCACTACGCGGTCGCCTAGCCGACTATACCATCGATTGATCGTGTGTCACTATGCAAGGGACTGGTCACAGGGGCGTGCCGATCTGTGACCCGCGATGCTGAATGTTCTTCGTTCTTCGGATCACGCTACGTGACGTAGACGTAGGCCTTGGACAAATTTCTGGGAGAGCCTGACGCGTGGCTTTCCAGGCTTTTGTGCCCATCCCATCTGGCGTCCACCAGACCATCGATGCCCTGCAATTCGCGAACCCGAAGCAATTTGAGAACTACTCCATGAACTGGCTTGTGCGCCGAGTGATGGATGCCTCTTGGCCGTATTGCGAGCTTGCCGAGCAACACGCAGTTGTCTACCTGAATCATTTCGTGATTCGAGGCATTGCGTCGCAATGGCAGGACATTTCGCTTTCGTGAGCCCAAAGGAATCTGAACACACGGGTGCGTACTCTAACTAGCATTGGGTTGTACCAGGCACGTTCGGCCCTTCCAAGGGCGAAATTGCTTGCAACAAAAGCCCCTCGGTGACAATCGCCTTCAGAACATAAAACCTGCAAAGCACCCGCGACATTCTGCGACAAGGAATTCAACTGACAAGCCCGCAAAGTGGTTTGCAGTTCCGTGGAACACCGGTTGTAGGAGTACATGATGATACGTTAGCCCGGGTTCACGGGCTACCAGCTACTCCCTGTCACCGAATGCATGCGCATGAGATGTGCCATGTCGGTCTCCTGCTTGCTGAGGTATGTCAAATTCGCTTCGATGTGATGCACCAACAGGTTTACAATGCGCAGCAGGCCTTACGTATTGTTGTGCAGGAGAGCACAAGCCCTGTCCATGGATCCTACCCACAGTTCAGTTGCAAGTCCCTCTGCCTTGAAGCCCTAAACCTTAAGCTGGCTCATAGAGCAGGCGGTGGAGATGCAGGCAGATGCCCTTCTTGAGAAAGCTACGCGGACTTGACAAGTGTACGGCTTTATAACAAAAGTCAAGATGCGATGTGCCTATGTGCTTGTGTACAACTTGTATTATCTCCTCAGATGATATTGTGACATATTTTGCTGTGTTGTTGTGCTCGCTTTCGTATCAGGGGTCTGCCGCAAACAAAACTCAAAGAAAGCGCTGGCGTCAGGCCTTGAGCCTTTAGGGTTGAGGGACCTACCTGGCAGGACAAGGTGTTTTGGGGCAGTCGTTTTGGGGAGGGTGGGATGGAAGGAGCCACCCTGTCTCTTGGGTGGCCTAAAAGTCAGTTCAAACACTGGTGGGCCAGGGTCCTCCTGGGCGTCCTTTTTTTCCTTACTCAGGTCCAGGACTGCGAGAGGATGCATGCATCTTTGTGGGCTAAGGTCAGGGAGGCGGGCACCACGAGCACCTTAGCAGCAACGCCAGACGTGAGCTCTTCTAGGTCCGGCGCGTCATGCTCTGTCTCTCTGTCTCTCTCTGCCCCTCTCTCCCTCTCTCTCTCTCTCTGTGTCTGTCTCCCCCTCTCGCTGTCACTCTCTCCCTCTCCTTTGTCTCTGTGTCTCTTTTTTTTGCCCCTCTCGCTCTCTCTCCGTCGTTCCTTCTTACCGCATTCCGTCTCCATCTTATTTTTGCGACCCCCCAAAACAACATGGGTAAGCAGAGTTCGCGTTCACGGGCTGTGCTGCAGGTGTCGTAGGCTCGCTGCGTTGTGGAAAGCCATTGAGGCCCAGCCGAGCTCAACAAGATCTTCCAGGAACACGCCAGCCAGGCTTCTGGTTGGGAGATGAACTTCCTTTGGCCTACAGTAATATAAGCCCCCAAACTTGTCCTGCAAACACAAGTGAGAGACGTTGCAAAGAGGTGCTCCAGAAGTGGAAGGAGCTGATGCCCTATCTGCTCTTCCGCTTTAGCGCTTCGGTGGCATTTTTTGGATCATTGCTGCGGTCAGGGGGGTCTCTGCTCCGAGCCTCCAGTCCTTCGGACTTCGGGCACGTGGGCATGGGCCTTTTGGGATATGGAGGGTGATGGTGAGCAGTATCAGTAGCAGCTCTGCTTCCCTCACATGGCTCGCCGCCAGGCGGCAACACCGACATTGAGACCATGAAGGGCCTGAGCTATCCGGATTCTTGGCTGGAGGCGTCAGGCTACAAGGACCCTTCTTCCCCGGAGTCGCGTTTGCAAGCTGCGCCTTGGGGCAAGCTTCCTGGTGGACCCTAAGCCCTCCTAAACCCTAAACCCTAAACCCTAAACCCCAAACCCTAAACCCGGTGTGGCAGGACGGACCCCCGGATGCTCCGAAGGAGGACAAGTGCCCTCCGAAATGTGATCCGGAGGATGCCGAGGTCGTGGTCTGAGCCCTGTACATACTCTCGCCTGTTCTTGGCAGGCGAGGGCCAAATCGCTAGCATCTCTGCCTTCCACGGTTTCAGGTGTCAGGGGTGATCCTCTAGGGACGCTGGAGTAGACCCAGGCAAATGGAAGTTCCGACATCCTGCAACATCGGAAGGATTAGGGAACGTCTCCTTGGGCAAGGGGCCCATGTCGCGCGGACATGCAAAACTGCTCCAGGAATTCAGGGAGTCCACATGAGTCCACCCCGAATTCGTAGTCCAAGAGTTCGAACCAATTCACTCATCCATGTAATGCGCAGCAGATGTTTCCTAAACATTCCGAAGCCTCCAAACCACCAGGACGCCACAAATCCCACAGGCATTTGCGTGCGGAACCCAGCAAAGAACCTGCCAAGCAGCTCAGTTTAGAACCATGCACGCTGAGACCAGAAAAGCTGTGGTTCTCAAACAGATTCTGGCATGTTTCCAGTTCTAAATTTGAGAGCAGACAAGTGTGTTGCATGCTCAACGCTACCCTCTCTGCAACAAAGCCGCTGCCGAGCGTCGAGTCGATAAACTCTGTCGCTGGGGAGGCCTTGCAGTAGGATGGATCTGGGATGGCCTTGGTCGTGTGCCCGTGCTCTTACTTTGTGCACCCCCCCCTGCACCCCCGCCCCCCCTCCCCCCCCCTTGTAAGCCCAAATCCACTAGCTTGCCCTTCAGGGGCCCCTGAAGCACTTTGTGTTTGGACCAGTAGGACAGATGCTTCCAAGGTTTGCAGTGGAAGCCGCCGCGGAAGCAACTATGCCGCCAGCATCGTACAGGGCGTGGGACTCAGACGTTTAGGGCCTCTTTTGGTGTTTAGAGTCACGTGCATGCTGAAGATACAGTTTACCATTCATAATTAACAATCTCCGTCTTCCGAGAAGGTGTGCCATCGTGTATTCCTAGAGCGGCAGAAAATTGAAACTGGAAGCCAAGTCCTTGCTCAGAGTCCCTGAAGCTGCCGAAGGAGCTAGCACACCCACAATCACACCGAATCCTGAAGGAAAACCATTCTGAACCTTTCCCTTTTTCTCTCACTGATTGCCGTCATAGCTCTGAGGATTGGTTCGGATCGACTCCGAAGCTCGGGTGATTGGTCTGTTGGGTGGCGTCGCCCGGAGCTGACTTGTGGCGCATCATGTGGCGCAACGCTTCGAGCATGTTCACACACTGCTGGAAGCATTGATAGGCAGTGCTAGCTTACACTCTTTGACGTCACCCGATACAAGACAGACGCAGACGTACCCCATGCTCCGGACTCCAGGCTCATCGGGCCATAGCTCCCTGGGCGGTGCCGGTCCCAGCTGCGTGCAGCTTTCCTCATTCTTGCAAGGCGCTTGTGTTCAGCCTGTTAAGCCTTCCGCTGGCAATGACAAGGTCATATCTGCAGCTGCGCAACTGCAGGCCCTTTGCCTGAGCATGCCTGAGCCATGAGATTGACTCAGCACCCTTGATCGGCCCCCCCCCCCCCCCCCCCCAAAGGCCCGAAGGCCCGAAGGTGGCCCTAGAACTGACGAAGTCCACTTCATGAAGGCAGGCGCCAGCTCACAACAAATCGCGGCAGCTGTCAACATTGCTGCCAGCAGCCGGGGCCCCAGGTGTGTAACCACCTTCAAAAGAATAATGGCCCCCCCCCCCCCTCCACCCGAAACCCCAAACCCCAAATCCCAAATCCCAAACCCGAAACCCTAAACCCACTGTTGAAGTTCTTGGATCCGAGGCGAAGTTGCATTCAGCATCTCCGGTGAGCAGGTGTGGGGAAATTTCATATGCATGAGGATCTCAAGTTGCTTCCAGTCGTTGTTTTAGGGTATAAGGTTCAGCGTTTAGGGTTCACGGTTCAGGGTTTAGGGCTCAGGGTTTACTTCGTTTCATTAACCTCCCCCCATCCCTTCCTTGGGACAGGCCGCTTATGCTGCGCACTTCTTGGCGAGTGCCCAGGGTTTGGACAGTGCGCATCCCGGAACTTTTGGATACTTGTTGGTTGCCCCAGCTGCTGATGTCCACAAAGCGACGATTTGCTAAGGCGGCGCTGCGCTTTCAGCTGCCGTCGAGGCAAGCGGCAAGCACTCCGGGCCAAGTCAGGGTAGGTTAGGGTCTTGTAACCACATCGATTCGGAGAAATCAGATCTGCACTGGCCACGGTCAGAATCCCTGTAAGGGTGGGCAAGTTAACAGGCAGCAAACCGGAAGCAGAGGAGGGCGCTGGATTTTCCTCCCCGCCGCGTGGGAAGACTGTGGTCCACAAGCCATGTAGGGTAGCTTTCTAAATGAGGGTCTCTTCTTGGGTTCGCTCTATAAGGTACGGCACCTTGTAGAAAGGACTCCAGAAGGGACCCTGATTTGGAAAACTACCCAGTAGCAAAATAAACAAGCACGAACTGGAATTGGCCTTCATTGACTCCTCGAGTCGGGTCTGGCCTCCATTCGCTTATTCGCAGACTCTTCGCTTTTTCGCAGACTGAGGCCTCTTGGTTGTCAGGAGTTCCTAACACATCCCCAAAACATCATCCTCATTTTTTGGGATCTTTTTGGGGGCCCGACATTTCTCCGCAAAGCGACACTATGAAGCCTCCCGGATCACTAGCCTGAAGCCAAGCAATACAGAACCCTCCACGCCGCCTCCTGCCTCTTCCATAGATAGTCCCCTCAGAGTCTACTCGCACAAGTCCCGAAGGAAACCCAATAAGCACCAGCTGTAGACCAATCCAGAAAGACATAAACATCCCCTGGACTTTCTGGAGGCTGCTCGCCTCAGAGACCAGTCAGAAGGGCCGCTGCGACACCTCACGGCGCGGCCCCTGAAGGGAGGGGTTGAGGGTTTGGGGCCTTGACGGCACTTGTTTCTTGAGGGTTTTGGGGTTGAGCGTGCAGTGCTTGGCAGGATCAGTGCCCAACCCCGTGTCATGCTGATTCGTTTATGCCGGCAGCAAGTCGAAGTCATAGTCTAGGTATTCGAGTTTCGGGTTTAGGTTTAGGGATGTTAACCCACACAGCAAAGGAGGTGCTGATCTTCCGCGGAGTTCCTCCAGAAGAGGCGCGGGCTCCTGATGGTGCTTGCCAAGAGAGGATAGAAATGGATAGAAGAGGGCGACACAGACTTCGAGTTGCTCTGCTTGACATCTCATTGATGCTCGGGATGTCGGCAGCAGAATCCCTTGAACCGCTTTGCAGCATTGGCTGAGACGCCCCTTCCCCCCTTGTGTGCGACTCTCTTCTTTTAACGCTGCCTGCAAAAATCGTCTGGCCAATGGGGAACTGGCCGTGTGTGGAGGAGCCCCGGAGCCCCGCAGTTCCTTGCTTGGCCCAAAAATGGACGTTAAGCTGTTGACTCGCGTGTCCTTGCTGTGAAGGAGTCGCAGTTTTTTCTCCTGCCAAACCCAGAGTTCTGCTTGCGAGGAGCCCAAGGGCACTCCCAAAGCCCACATGGTGCACGAGAGCTTCTTCCCCATGTACCTGGTCAAGGCCGGCGTAGCACCTCCCTTGTGGGCTCTAGAATGTATGGGGCCTTGGGGGAGGTTCGATTCGGTTGAGGGCGAATGGAGAATTTATGTGGGATTCCGAGCGAAGAAGTTCTTCGGGTTTTGTCCAGGTGTCCGATTTCCTGGAGATGGAGGGAGCCCCTGAGTCCCACGCGACGTTGAAGCAGCGGGGCCTCCTCCACGAGTGGCGCGAGGGGATGTTCACCATCTTTGTTTCACATCAGTGGCTCGGACGTCAGCATCCAGACCCGACCGGCGAACAAGTGGCCGTGTTGCGGATGATGCTGAAAAGGATCCTTGATGGCTCGTTGAGCGTTGAAGGCGATTTGGTCTCTTCCTCCTATGGCCAGCGTCAGCTCCTCACATCCCAGACCCGCAAGCAGGTGGAGACTGGCTTCCTCTTCTTCGATTGGTTTGCCATCCCTCAGATCACAGCACGGGTGGAGGGGGTGAATGAGGAGGTCACGAAGTCGGACGCGGCGCGAGCTGTCAACAGCATCCCTTTCTACGTCGAGGCGGCGAGCCTCTTTGTGGCCCTCGTGCCGTTCGTGCTACACAAGGACACGAAGGAGTGGTGCTCCTACACCACTTGGCTTGCGCGCGGCTGGTGCAGGTGTCCAGACACATTAATTTCTTTGTTTGTTAGTTTGCTTGCATACGTTGCTTATTTTGTTGCGGGTGGAACACCACATGGTTCGTGGTTTGGAAGGGTACGTCTGTAAGTTGGGGTTGCGCCCAGGGCAGAGCTCTGGCTTCACATGCTGTCCAGCAAGCCCGACACAAGCGTCATTCTTGTGACGTCGGTGCAAGAGGCCAAGTTCATGTTTCCCCTGGACTGGTTGGAGAGCTTTGGTCGGCACTCACATAGCTGACTTTTATTGTTCATGGACTTTCATGGATGTTCAAGGGGGTAGATTTGCAGACACGAAGATGGCCCCTGAAACAAGGAACACAATTGCAAGCGGAGACTTCACAGTCGAAGACGACCGTGCGGTGGTCGTCCAGCTGGGACAGAGAGCGCTCGAGAGCAAGATCCGTGAGCTCAAGGATTCAGGGCCTCTTGCGACGTTTCGTTTCTACCAGGCCAACCGGTCCAAGATGTTGGGAAAGAAGCAGTCGGAGTATGAATTGCAAGAGTTTCTGGATACCTTCCAATTCGACAGCCTTGAGGAGGCTGCGAGGGATCAGAGCAGCATGAACGGGTTGAGGTGTGCGGTATTCAGCAGCGATAGCCGCATGATACAGCTCCTGGTCAGCAGGAGAGCCGACGTAAACTCGAGAACCCACGGCTTGTCGAAGGCGGGGTACTTCGACGGCCAGCTCTTGATCACCTGCGCGGCAAAGTCACACCAACCGGCCCGCATCCTCCGAACGCTCGTCGAGCTTCGTGCGGACGTCCACGCGAGGAGCAGCCAGTTAGGTTCCACGGTGGTCCCCATGGCGCGGTCGCGCGCTCAGCTTCAAGTGCTCATGGAGGCAAGGGCGGACCTGCACTCCCACTTCGTTCCTGGAGGCGCCACGCCACTTGCCGGTGCCTGTAGCATGGCCAACTCAGACACCATCTCCATGATGCTGGAAGCACGGTGCGACCCAAACCCTGCGGTGCAGGGCCTCGGCCAGAGCCCTCTGCACCAGGCGATCTTCTTCTCTCGTGGGAACCCCACCGCGTTCACGACTGTGAAGATGCTACTCGAGCATGGTGCCGATCCCAATGCATCTACCAGCCCAACCGGATCGTTCAGTTGGGCCTGTCGGGTGGCGAGGGCGTATCAGGCCCTAGTGGGGAAAGAGGCCACCCCTTTCCGCATCCGCTGCTTTGCCATTCTTCCTGGCCTGTCGCCCCTTGGCACAGCGGCATTCATCGGCGACCCGGACTTGCTGCAGCTCCTACTCGACTTTGGTGCAGAAGCAAAGGCCAACAGTTGCGGAGACTTCCCCGAGGATCTTGCCAGAGACAACGGCCACCTGCACCTCCTACCCATCCTCAACACCTTCCATGTTTAGGATGTTGTAAAAAGTTTGCAAGACATGCAAATATATGCTAATAGTCTCCCAGACGGTCCGAAAGCCTTCGCGGGACCCCTTCCGAAAAAGTTGCTAATGGCTTACGTCGAGAGCCCAGGACGCCAGGAACTTGACAAGCGACTGGCTCTTGCTGTGCTTCATGACTTGACACGCTTCTTGAATCTTCTTGATGCTTCCTTGTCAATCCACAAACTGGTGGAAGCTAGCCGCGGGAAAGTCGGAAGATGCAGGAACTGTAAGGTGGCCAACAGGAGCATCAAGTCATCAAGCAACAAGCGGGCATGTGCTGCCCGCTGCAACTTGACCAGCGATAGCACGCGCTGCCCAGCAGCCTGTGTAGACGCCGATCTGCCAGTGGACGCTGGAAAAACGAGGCATCGTGCACGCTTCTGCAGGGAGGCCATGTCTCACAGTGTATGCTTCAGAACAGAAACATGCGGGTGCCACAATGTGCCATGGAGGCATTTCGTGAGATGATCTCCTCAATGTTGCCTTCTCAGTGAGTCTTTGCCGTTGAGCTTCGCGTGGCTCCTTACGTTTCGTTGTGCGAGACGTCATCTCTGCAATTCTGACAGTCTTAGACACGCTCTTCATATTTCTGTGTTCCCTGTGTTCCTTGCAAGGCTTGGCTTTTAGGAGTTGCCCTTGTGCAGGTTGTCCGCGTTTCCTTCGACTGCGGCTGCGCAGTCCATAATACAGGCAGTGGGTATTTTCGGGGATAGTCATGCTCTTGGCCTGGGCAGAATGCAGGGAGCCTGGTGGTACCAGCTCTTTGTGGAGGGGGCGGTACGGCAGGGGACCCAGACCTGTATCCAGAAGCGAAATTCGAGAGCTCTATTAGCATTGCCAGTTTGGAAGCCACGAGTAGGACAAGAATACAGAATAACTGTGGAAAATTCAGAAGAGCAGCAAGAACGACAAGAGCAGCCATTCAAACTGGAACGTATCAACTGAAATTAGATGCGTCTGCAGGGATACAAGTCACAGTTGACGAATTGGTAGGCGTTGGTCGCTGCACCGGATCTTGCATCGAAGTCCTTGGTTCCGCAGGCCATTGCAACTCAGTGACCTGAGAGACAGATTCGAAGGCCGTGCCGCACCAGACAGTCGGGCGAGGGGGGGTGAAGGGCTTAAAGATTGTGGGTTGAGTGAGATTGGGCAGGGGGCTGGTGGCAGCGGGTACTGTAGCTGCTCAAAGCTGTTTTCCGCGCCCCCAAGCCTTTTTCGACACAGATTCTGTGGAGCCGCACGCATTTTGGCGATCTTATTACATTCACGTAGGTGTGCCCTCTTCCTACTCTCACTCCGCCCAATACTCTGCCAACACCGGAGCGATGCAGAGGCACTGCCCACAGCCAGCTCCCTCACGTACTGGAAGTGGCAACCAGGGCACCTGCTGTACTGGCCACAGCCCTACTGTAGCAGTCCTGCAGTGCTGGTAGCAATCACTAGCGTGTGGTTGTCTATGACTACCTCAGGCAGCAGCCAGCGGCACGCAGCTAGGCTGGGCATGGACTTGACAATTTGATCTTGAGATGTTCCCGCTTAAACGTCCCTACTGTGTTCTACAAGGGGGATTATAGCGCCTGTTAAGGATAGTATAGGGGGGAACATCCCAAGTTTGATCCTTTTCCGTGCCGGAGACGCTCGGAACGCGTAGGCGCGGCCGTCGTGGGGATTGCGAGCAGCGGTCCCAGCTTCCAGGGAAGCTTGGGGAAATCAAGGGCCCATCGGTCCGCGTCGCTCCTGGGTCCTGTATGCAACAAAAAGAGCCTCCATGTGTGGCAGCCTCAGTATGACTCCGACCCAGAGCAGCTCCTATGCTCCACCTGAGGGAACCTGGAACCTCGAAAGTGTCCCCCCCCCCCAGCCTCCCCTCCCCCTCCCCCCTTCCCCCACTCCTTCCCACCCCCAAGTCCTGATTTCTTGACTCTCCGTCCACCTCCTAAATCGCGGGGGACTGGCTTTTCATTTTTTTCATGACTTTTCTATGTGGCTAATTCCATTGTAGAACTACAACGGGGACGAACTCTTGTGCTTCTGTCCGCGAAAGGTCCTCAAGCCAGGTCTTTGTGTCGAGTCTGCCAGGTCATGACTTGCTGCCACTTTTCCACGTCGTCATACTTGCGTGAGAATTCCTTGCAGCGTTCTTGCAGCAAGCCCATGCCAAAGGAGCTCGTCAAGATTCCATAGGTGAACCTGATTTCTTTGACATTGTTTCAACTTCGGTCGTGTTTTGGAAAGCAGGCCGTGTGCAATCCTCCAATCCCTTATGCGATCAGCAGTTTTCGTGTTTTGCGTGTCTTGCATCGCGGCTCGTGCTCGCGTTAGGATTCGTAGCTCCCAACAGCCTTTGGGGTTCAGTGACCTGACTGAGGCGAAGCCAACGTCACAGAGCACCAGGAAGTGCAATACGCTGCCTATGTCGCGGCTCTGCAGGTATCTCGGTTGCCTTGGCTAGAAGGTTCATCAAGCTGCGATACATGAGTCCCTTTCGCGACTACGTGAAAGCTTATAAAGCCACACTAACTCACACCAAGATCTTCACTGTCCGAACCCTCTACCCATAATGGCCACATCTCCCAACAATTCTCCCAACATAGCTCAGGGTATGATCTTTCTTCTGATAAGACCTGCCCCACTGAAAATGGGCTGCCAGGCATACCTTGGCACAGAAGATGCTGCAGTGGCAGTGGCCGGCGCAACTTCGGCACTTGGCGCAAACCCGACGCAGACGGCTCGTGCCTCGGTTCAGAGGGCACCCTCGACCATCCACTGCCGTGATCCGCGACAAGGCCGTGAGCTTGTTGAACTACTTCCTGGCCAGTGGGTACACCACCGATCAGGCGAGAGGTGCTGGCGGCCGGCCGCATTGTGTGGTCGATCCACTTTCACATGCATGCAAGCGTATACGAAGGTACCCTATTGGGGTCCTTATTACAAGGGAATCCTACTATGTGGGGTCCATTATAGGGGTCCCGTATTTTCGTAAACTCCGATTTTGGGTTTCACTAACGGTGCTGCTGGGAGGCGTCCTCGCTGGTTTCAACCGCGTTTCAGGCGGGCACAAGGGTTCCACGGATCCGCGTGGATCATCCGTAGATTCAATTCAGCTTTGGTGGATAAGCGGTATGCCTGCGCTTCCAGACACGAGCAAGTATCATTTGCTACTTCATCTTGTGTTCCGATTATGCTCAATGTTACGCTCAATACTTATGAGTCCATGTGGCAGACACGGGAAATGTCAGCTCCCCAGCTCCCTTGCAGCCGAGGCCTCCTCCAACCTGGGTGCAGCACTGCAGTCTGCAGGTCGGACCCCCACCTGGACCTTTAACTGAGCCAGGGCTCAGGGTTTAGGGTTTAAGTTTAGGCTTTGGTGGGTGGAGGGGGGTTGTTCTATGTGCCCTCAGTTTCCTCGTAGAAAGAAGCTGCGACAACTACCGTCGAGCCCCTCTGAGAAAAGAACCCCAAGAGCTCCAAAGCCCAGTGTCCCGAGCACCGCAGGCTCAGAGTTCCAGACCCTCTTCCAGTCGCACGCTTGGCAGCTTGGGCCCGAGAACTTGCTTTTTTTGGTGGTAGGTGCTACTCTTTGGGCACCTCGCTGACCCTGTCGACTGATAGATCGTGATGTATAACTGCTGGTAAATGATGCAGGAAAAATGCAAAAGCACGGCCTGAAAGAGACATTGGATCACAGTTCAACTCTAAGTCCTCCTCATAGAAATGTTCCTGAGGATGACTTCCCCAAATTGGAATTCTCCTCTTCGGGTGTTGTTTCCACTTGCTCTTGGGGAGACTTCACGCATGAGCGACGAAACGGCAGCTGTGGGTGGGTGGCAAGGGGAGGGTCTTTTTGTGTTCTCTCCACTTCCTATGTCTCCTGTTGTGTCAAACATGTGAGAGTTTAGGGTTTAGGGTTTAGGGTTTAGGGTTCAGGGTTCAGGGCTTAGGGTTTAGGGTTTAGGGTTGACAGGTGAGCTACGTATAGGAGCTGCACGAGTCGACTTGTCTTTTTCCGCCCATCGCAAGTGGCCTTCTGCGACAGTTCCCTTCGGGGGATCTGCATAACACGGCGCTGCCGAGGCCGGTGTCAGATGAATGGAGAACCCTGACAGGACGCCTCTTTTTTTCTCCTTTTTTTCCCTCCATCTCTCTCGCTCTCTCTCCCTCTCTCTCCTCCCTCTCTCTCCCTCTCTCTCCCTCTCTCCTCTCTCTCCCCCTCGCTCCCTCTCTCTCCCTCTCTCTCCCTCTCTCTCCCTCTCTCTCCCTCTCGCTCCCTCTCTCTCCCTCTCTCTCCCTCTCTCTCCCTCTCTCTCCCTCTCTCTCCCTCTCTCCCTCTCTCCCTCTCTCTTTCTCGCGAGTTTTGCCCCGCTTTGAGCTTCCCTGAACATTGAGGCTATCGAGTTTTTGCTACTGTTGGTGGCTGGACTGTTTCCAGATGCAAGCTTGGGTGCGAATCAGCAGCATCATGTTCCTGCAGCAGAATTCAAGAGGAGTGCATTCAGATCAATCTAGGGATCAGCGGGGCATGTGCAGATCAACAGCATCTCCGAAGGTCATATGTGAATCTTGCGAGGGCAGGAAGGTTTGTGCAAGGCAACACCAACCATGACCAACCGCAACATAACGCAACACTCGCCGGGAGACGGCGAACAACAGTACCAGCATATTGGCTGTAGCTCCCGGCCCCCCTTCAACTTAAGCCAACACAACAGGGACTAGATCCCTGGCTCATGCAGAGCACCTGCTGGTAGCCCCTGGGTCTGCCATTTCCTGCCTCAATGGCGGATGCAAACGCCCCAGCCTCGGAAATCCGGAACAATGTCTGTGCTCAGCTTCCGCAGTACCTGCCCCTCCAGCCGTTGAAGTGTCTTTTACGTGTAGCATGTGGTAGAATCATACTAAACTAGCAGCTCAGGCTGATGCCCTTCAAGTGCGCTGCTTCCTCCAGTACCTCGGGTAAAGCAGTCAGACCTTGAGAGGGTCTTTTGCAATGTCGTGGTGTGGAACCAGCTCCTGCTCCATCCCCCACATACCCCTGCCCTAAACCTGTTCAAGCATCATGGCTCAAGCATGGCCCCGGTTGCAGGCAACGATGCGGCAGCCTGAAGGCCCTTGGGACGAGTGTATGTCGAGTGAGATGCAAGGGACATCCGGGTCAGAATTCATGCGCTGCACAAACGCTCACTTTTTTACGCGCTGTCTTGGAAGCATAGCTGCAGCCATCCTTGAAAGAAAAAGCATATTCCGAACAAAGCTGGCACCCCGCAGGCGGCATTTGCAGCGCTGGCTGCTTGGCAAGAGCACTGGAAGCTTTGGGCACACAACAGGGGCAAGCACCCACACCCGCGGGATTCCGTGATCTGAGTTCAGCCCTCAAAACCTCCCCTGAGCTGGCCAGCTGCCTCTTCCATCCCTCAAGGATTCCTCAGACACGGGCCGCCTGAGCCGCCTCTTTGCTGCACTGGTTATAGGGCTTGAATCTGCAGATGAGGTGTTGGTATTGAAGCCCCTTTGCGCAAAAGGGACAGGCACCCCATGGAAGTGGAGCATCGTGGGGCCACAGGGGGTAGGGATTCGTGTGTCAGCACGCGTTAGCTTCCAAGGCGAGGAGTTCGAGACTGGCCTCCGCACGCTCGGCTTCCGAGCGGATGCTGTCGGAGTCTTCAGGAGCATGGCGAGCATGGACCCCTGCAGCTCCGGGCTCGTGAACCTGAAGGCCCTGTTGAAGTATTAGCTGTCACTGTGGAGGCTTGCGTGTCCGTAGAGAGAGCGTTTTGCTGCTAACGTTCAGTGTGGTCTGAGCGAGGCCTTTGTCACGGGCCTGATGGGTGAGCCGGGCATCGAGTCCCTCCCGTCACAGAACTTGCGCCACTCCTACCACCCAGGCATGAACACCCCTCGGAAACTGGAGCACCCCCAGAACCCCCCGACCCTCCTCCAGAGAGGACCTCCAAAGGCGTCCAAGCCAGATCAGGTGAAGATGCCCAAGTCTCAGTCCCAAGTAGAGACCCTTGATACGTTGAGCCTGCAAGCTCGTGTGGCTCAGCTGGAGATGCAGCTCGCCGTGGAGAGGCAAAGCCGCTTGGATTTGGAGAGGAGTCTGCGCCTCGAAATGGAGCGACTGCAGCAGCTGATCCACGATGAACTTCCATCTCGTTCCCGAAAGCCGAACAGCGAGTTGCGCCCTGCCTGGCAAGATTCCGAGTCGAGAGCCACGCAAGCCCCCTCGGCTTGCAACAGTTCTCCACCGGGCCACGTCGAAAGCCTCGAGGGCCAAAGAAAACTCGTTGACTCCGCTGACGCCACGGCCGGAGACCCTGCCAAAGCTGCGAGCCCCACATCGGCCAGGGGGCATCAGGACTCTGTGAGACACAAATCAACAGTCGTGGGGGTTTACGAAGGTAGGGGACCCTTATAGGAATATAGACGCCAAATACTAGGATCCCCTTACAACGACGACCCCAACAAGGGACCCCTAATCTCGGAAACCCCCTCGTCATGCTCTCCTAAATCGCTCATGGTTCGTCTGAGTCGCAGATGGGCTTTCCCTCTTTTCTCCCTTCAGGACTTACAGAAGATCCCGCGGCTGCACTTGACACCTCGGACGATGTTGCGGCAAGAGAGCCCTGGCATTCTGATTCGCACCCCTGCGTACTTCTTCACAGCTGGCTGCAGCTTTCGCAGGCTTTCTGTGTTCCCTTGATTCATGTTGACCCTAAACCCTGAAACCCTAAACCCGAAACCCTGAAACCCTGAAACCCTGAAACCCTGAAACCCGAAACCCCGAAACCCTGAAACCCGGAAAACCCTGCGAAGCCGAGCGTCGCGCGATCCCTCGAAGGAATCTGGCCCTTCGGGAGCAGATCCTCAAGATGAGAGAGCAGGCCGTGGATGCCAAGGCCACAGATGCGGCCTGAGAGACAGAGCGGGGCTTTGGGGGTTTTAGGGGTTTTAGGGGGGTTTCAGGGGTGTAGGAGTTTAGGGTTGAGGGTTGAGGGTTGAGGGTTTAGGGTTTAGGGTTTAGGGTTTAGGGCGAATTTCCTCAGGTGTCCCTCTCATGTCGCATTAGATCAGAAGGTGAACAGGGTTGCATCTCTGCAGAACCCATGTGACCTCCAATGTCATCTCGCTCTTCTGTGTTAGAGTCATGACACAGTCGTTTCAAGCCTCGACTTCTCCTTTCAAACCCAAGCCCGCTCTTTGGGATGTCAGGAGCGCGAGCGTCTCCATGCAGCTGGCTCTGCAAGACTTCTCGCTTCGGCTTGAGACTGCCCCTCCCCACCCGCATCCCGAAACCCACAAGTACCCCTGTCCTGCTCCAATGCTCCCAAAATAGGGGGATGGTCGTGTGATGTCCCCATTTGTTTTGGGTCCGAGGTTTCTGGACCACCCAGCGCTCGCACGGACGGCAACGGAGGCGGACAGAGGGCGCAGCGCTTCCTAAAGAAGTCGGCATGCTTTTTGCAGCTCGAGTTTGGAGATGCACCTGCGATCTTTCCTAGTGCGAGTCGCCTTCACCATCAGCGTAGTTACGGCGTAGTTTGTAGGAGCTTCTGATCGACCAGATGCCCCACCCTCGATGCAAAACCACGATCATCCCCAGAAGCCCCTGTGAGGTCTGACAAAAACGGGAGCGGGGCGTTTAGGAATTGTTGGCGCTCCATACTTGCCCTGGAGGCATAAGTGGCCACAAGGTGAGCGGGCCATCGCCCGGCGTGTCCCAGGCCCGGTTCAAAAATCAAAGCGCAGGATTTATGGGTTTTGGGTTAGTTTGTAGCTTTACGGGCTATGCTGTTGAGGGTTCAGGGCTGAAGCCCCAAACCCCACGAAGCTGGGGCTTAAAGTTTTTCTTGGCGTGTGTTGGCAGATGCGTTTGGCGGTGAAATGGTTCTGAGGTCTCTTGCATAATAGGAGCATGTAGGAGCAGCAGTACATCTCCTGTATTTAAATTCAAGCAAAGAACGCTCCCCATTCCAGGCACAGACGCTGACCCGCTATCCACGCACGGTGGCTCCTGCGGGAGGCTCTCGGGGGGTATCTCTAGGCCTCTATAGGGCGCCTCTGTACTTACCCGAGTTGCGTGGCAGGACCCCCGCAGACCGGCCGCATGACTCTCCCGGGACAGACTGAGGTGAGCACGCATGTGCCCTCACAGACTCGTTACGTGCAGTAGCGGGCCTGGTTGCAGGTGCCTGCGGGTCAGGACAACCACCGGCACACGGCCATTCAACTCGATAGGTTGTCCCTGGGGTTGGCAAGCGCTTTGGCGCGTGGCTTTCAAGCCAATCTTGAGCCAAACCCCGGCCTCCGGCCTCCAGGCCCTATCTTCGGGTCGGTCTTGTCTCTCTCAGTTCTTCTGGCCGTGAGATGGAGTGCAGATCGGACCCATTTGATCTGTTTAAGGCCTGCTCTGCATTGGTGCTCTGTATCAACTTGTACCAGAACTAGATGCAGTTTTGTTGGCAGGGTTTGTGTTTTAATGACAGGCCGCATGACTCACATGGCCTGGTGGAGGCGGTTTCTAGGTTTGCCATCTCTGCTGGGTCGCTGACATGGAAGTGCTGGCCACTGTTGCGGCATTGCCTTAAAAAGGAATCAGCACATTATGCCATGCGCCATATCGAACCAAATATTCGGATGCACGACTTCCAAGTCACCAATGCGACAGCTAATGCTCCCGGCAGTGTCGATAAAAAGCGCGAGTGCATTCAAGTGAGCTTGATTGGGCTCGTCTTCTGCATGCGCTGTATTTCATCCCTCTCTTATCCCTGCACCACCCGAGAGGATTGCCGACAGGTCCGGGTCCTGGCGCGAAGACTGTGGAATCCTGATGAATCCTGTCGTGCGATGTGCCAGCAAGCAGCAAGCCCCCACCTGCATGGCAGGCGGTTCCGTGACGGCCCTTGGCGAGGCAGGCGGACTTTGTGTGACAGTGGGAGCCAAGACGACAGCGCTCGGAAGCCAGCCATGACCAGGTCCACGTGCCCTATGTTATTCAGGGCCTCGCAGGCGTCTTGCAGGTTACGCCTTCGCAGGCGCCGTGACAATGCAAAGAAGCCATGTCAGCCCTGTGATCGTGAATGCGAAAAGTAGGTCGTCCTGAAATGTCGGACTGCAATGACCAAGCTGGGGTTGCAGTGCAGGTTTTCCTGCGCTCTACCTCATCTCGGCGGCTAACAGAGAGGTCAGGGAGTGGCCTTTAAAACCCACGGATGTTCGAAGTTCAGGCTCGAAGTGCGGCTCAAGATCCCTCTTGGCAGGAGCTTTCAGCGGCGACTGCAGCAGCACCCAGCCATCCCTTGCCTTCATGGGCCCTTCCCTGGTTCGGTGTTGCATTAGGATCAGCCTGTCCTCGTTGCATCTCACTGCGCAAGGTCAGAACTGCCCATGTGCAACATCGATTTTGCCGGGGCCTTGTGATCTAGCGCGAGCTGTGAGATACACGTCTTGACCCACAACCGCCCTCTTCGCAACGTGTGCAGTAAACCATAGCCCTTCTGACAAGCCGCACGCCCCGCCTGCCCATGCCGTTTCTATAAATGCTAGTCCGGTTTCTGCTGCTCTTCTTTCGACGTGTTGCTTTCCCACCATGGGGACACTCTGCTCGCAACACGCTGTTGAGACTGCACATGGATGCAAGGTTGTTGAGATCCGGGCGAGTGATGATGCCCGGCTCCTCGGGAAGTTTTGATCTCTGTCCATGAAGCTTCTTACTGTGAAGCCTATCTGGAGACTCTCCCTTCTGAAGTTTCTGAAGAGGTCTGTCTCAAAGGCTGTATACCTGTCGGGACGTTCGCGCTCAGAGGCAAGCCTCCGAAGCCTACGCGAGCTCCAGCAGTTACGCACCGCGACTTCGTGTGTTTCGACGCTGGCATGCTTGGATGACCGACGATGCTCTTCCCGTCCTCGCGCCCTCCCGAGCGTGGCCAGTGTACCACGGAGTTTGTGCAGAGCATGCCTTTCACATTCTTTTTGTTAGTTTTCATGGTGTGCAGCTCTTCCCTATGCATGCTGTGCATGTTCTCCCTGGCTCTTCATTCGCCCCACACAGAACTTCCCTAGACGGCAGCGTTTTTTGACGCGGGGCTCTGACTGGTTGATGGGGAGGGGATGGAGCAACTATGAGCAACTGCAAAAAACAGAACATCGAATCGGCTCTTTACTTCCATGGCTGCATGGGCCAAGAGGCCACTCTCATTGCGGCGCGCATCGATGAGTTTGCCAGTGGGCTGATAGCTCAGAGCACTCACCTGCCTTGTAGTTGACCAGGTTGAGGCACACCTGTCTACGCCACGCGTTCACCAGATGCCACGTGCATCTGCGGATGCACTCAAGGTCGTCAGCACTTTATGCTCAATTCGAGCAAGCTGTGCAGCAGGCCATGCAGTTGATTTCTGTGTTCTCGTCTGATACTTGCGCGGGCTTAAGCCTAAAAGCAAGAATGACCTATGCAGTTCTGAGATGCGTGCCTTGTCAAGTTGTGAAGATGGGTAAGTTGTGACGAGGAGTTGGCAGCCGCGGGACTGCCAATGCCCAGTTGCTTCCGTGAGTCCTTGCATGTTTGCCGAAGGATCAGGTAGAATTTGGGGTTATTGGTTTATGAGATGAGTGCTGCATGCCAGGCGATGCCAAACTCGCAGTCGCGAATGTTGAGGCTGCTTGCCTCACTCGTCGTCATGGTGTCGCCTGAAAGCCCTCAAAGTTTCATGACTTTGCAACAGTAGCCATCCTCAGTCCAACCCATGAACGCACACCCCACGAGGCCCACAAGCACCATTAGTCATCTCTTCTTCCTTTCATGTCACCTGAGGTTGTGGACAGGTTCCCTCTTCCTGAATCCATCTGGCTGGCCGCGTGCTCACTGACCCATGCAGCTCATGGGGATCCCGGATCCATTTTAATTCAGAAGGCTCTTTGGGGTCTCAGGCATGTTTGAGTCGATATGGGGGATTTAGCGAGGGCCCTTCTTGAGCTGGGAGATTGCTCAAAAAAGCGAGGTGGTCATTTTGTTTTGTTTGAATCCCGAATACCTTGTCGGCCTGGGGCCTTGCTGGATTCAGCTACCGTCGGCACATAGGGCGAGCATGTGTCCTCGCCCTGTCCGCAGCCGGGCATGCCGCCATGCCGAGGTCAGCTCAAATTGGAGCACGGACCCAAGTTTGCCACTGGAACGCCAAATTGAGGGTTGCTGAACAGCTGCCAGCCCACTCACCACCCAGCTTGTTGTGGGCAAATAATGGATGGAATGGGGTCTTAAAGGCGCATGTCCCGATGGCTGTGGCAGCAGCGCGATGCAGACCAGAAGCTGGGGGCCCAAAAACCTCATGCGTGACGGAGTTCTCAGGGCTGTAGCTGGGCCGCTGGTTCACTGGTTCCGCTACGTAGGAGTAGGTAAGCGCATTACTCGAACCGTTTTCAAGAGGCGGCCCAGACTACAGAAGTCGATGGCTGACATGGTTTCATAGTGCGGGAGGGAGGCCAATTGATCGCCAAGGCATCTCTGCAATTCAACGTGGGATGGCTGACACTAGCCTGGTCTCATCTCGTTTAGCTAGGATCTTCATGTGGCTGAGTTGTAGGTCCACTGGGCAGTCTCTCAAAGAAGGAACGAACCGATCCTTGGAAGATTTCAGTTTGACATGTCTTCTATGCCGTCAGGTCTGATGTGCAGCACGGGCAACGACTTTGCCTGCAATGCATCAGGCCGGGACCGAACTGTAAATCCCATGCAGATCTAGAACTTCAAGAGCAGAATCCATCAGAATTACTATCAAACTGGTCTTGCATTACTGTTGTACTTGCATAACTATGACTATAGTCAGTGCTATTACCATTGGTAGTACTCCTGCTGCTAAGAATAATCGCCAGTAGAACAGCTCCTTTGCCTGAAAGGGGAGCGGCCCGCGACGCAGCAGTTTTGCGAGGACTGGCAAGAGTTTGGCGGGTTCGGGCTTGCGGCGCTTGGAACTTTGCGGAGGGTTTGTAGGGCAGAGGGCGGGGGGGGGGGGTGTTCAGGGGGCCCCTAAACCCTAAACCCTAAACCCTAAACCCTAAACCCTAAACCCTAAACCCTAAACCCTTTTGATCCCCCGTGAACTTCATCCAAAACTGCAAGCCCTTTGCCTTCCTGCCCGTTCCCCTGGTAGGTGTTTGAGTAAATAAGAGGCCCAAAGAGCCGTAATGGAAGATGGTGGATGGTGGGATAGGGTTCAGGGTTTAGGGTTTAGGGTTCAGGGTTCAGGGTTCAGGGTTTAGGGTTTAGGGTTTAGGGTTAGCAGTGGCAAAGTCGGCTCCAGAACTTCGAGAACTGCGAGTTCGATTGGGCATGCCCCGTCGGCGGTCGCGGTAGCGAGCTGGCCAGGGGCTCGCTACTAAAGCGAGGTGTGCAGATGCATCTTCGCCCTAACAGCTCTGCCTTTGCAGTTCCACTTGCAGGACTCGAAATTGCCCTGAAGGGATTCTGGGGTTGGGGGCAGCTACTGTAGCGGTGTGGGGGTATTCTTGCAGGAAGGCTGGCGCAAGAAACAACCCCTAGGCCTGTGGAGTTCAGATCCTGCTGCTTGTGGGCCGTGGCCCCAAGACCAGGTTGACCCACTGTATGGGCCGAATGTGTCACAGATGTCACAAGGGTCACGGATGTCTACGGGCTCGGAATACCAAGGGCTCCGACGTAGGGGCTCCGACGTAGGGGCTGCAAGGGGGCCTTGGCAGGCGCACAGTGTAACAGCGCATGCCCAGGCATGATACTTGGAGGGTTTCTGGCCCTCTGGTGCTGCTGCTGCATTACGTATCGTGCGAAGCTTGGCGGGCGTAGGCTCAGAACCGCTTGACCGGCATCTCAAAGAGCATGGTAGCTAGATCTGTCAAAAGGGGTCTTGCAGTGTCTTGCATGTCAGTCGGACATACGACGTCACATGATGGCTTGCAGTTGCTGCATGTGGGGCTTCGTGTGACACGTTGATGCCGGAACGTTGCCGGAATTCGCTCCACTTTGGTCTATCGCTGCCTGTTGGCCCGAGGTCTTGCTCGCAGCTGTAGGCCCGACATGCGAGGGTTCATGCAACTGACCAAAGCTCTCATCTGACAGCAAGTTGGAAGATACGACCAAGCCCAGCCATTGATGCAGGAAGTTATAGTTTCAGATGTTGTTTGAGGGGGACATGAGAAGGGGCTTGAAGCTTGGAGAATAATGAATTCAAGGGGAGCTTCAGAAGGGACTTGAAGGGGGGCATGAGAAGGGGGCTTCTTCTTGGCTCAAGGCAGTTAAGCTGTTAGGTAGTAACTGGGGGGTAGCTAAGGTTTGCTGGACCTCTAAGTAGGTAGGAAGCCCCATCAAAAACTTTGCGGGAACCCCCCCCCCCCCCAAAATAGGCAGCCTAGTTGTCGGAACCTCCTACGTGGCTAGATCTGATCCTTATAACCCTAACTCAGTTGAACTTGGGGATCATGCCATCTACCAGAATATTCCCTCCCTCCACTCTCTGCAAGATCGCTGGGATGCTAGGGTCCAGATTACGGTTTGGGGCTTCGCGACTGCCGGATCATGTCTGAGTAAAGGGCCTCTTAGGCTGCTGGATGCTGTTCCGAAGCTCATAGCATTGAGCATTGAGGGTGCCAGGTGATTGGAGGGCCTGGAGCTGCGCATTTCCGAAAAAATCCACCTGCTATGTGAGGCTATGTGACTATATATGTGTTACTGTAAGCCTTATTATGGGAACTCCCCCAAAAGATGCCCCTCTTTGAAATCCCAAACTCAGAGGCCTTCTTCTGGTGAGATGAAGCTGATGACCACCAAGGGGGAGCACATGAAGGCGGGGCTGCAAAGGTTCCTCAACGGCCTAACGAATTCGTTCATGGCGTGTGACTCGGGGGTGCCAATCTCGACAGCCTGCTTAGCTTTGAGACCCGTCACTCACTGTAGACCGAAGCTTACACGCTGGCCTGCAATAGCTTTCGATGGGAGTATGAAAAGAGGCATTGCCATCAATGTCAGTGAAGCAGTTTGCCAGCTGCAAACAGAAGCATGGTGAAATCCACTTGCGGATCGTATTGCCAAGTCGGGGACAGCTCTTTGGCCAAATCAGGTCAACTTCTACATCGTTGATGAAAGAGGGGGGGCCCAGTCTCATCTGGGTATGGTCAGTGGTGCACTGAAGCTGCTTTTGAGAAGCCGCTTTCGCCAAGCTGCTGCGCGTGCAGGTGAGCCACGCATGGATAAGACCCGGACGACTCGAACGCAGGCCCACTCAATTGAATGGGCTGGAAGCATGTGTCGATGCTTAGACAGCAAAACGGCAGTCTCTGCTCTTTCCATGCAGGAGTCGAGCGCGACCGGCTTCTTGAAGAGAGGCTGGTCGCGCAGCTCTGGGGCTTCCGCAGACGTGAAGTGTCACGTGGTCGGAGGCTCAGGCGTTCCACTGCAGGGTGGTCAGTCTATGAACACTACCCGGAGTACATATATACATACGCCCATTGTCTGGCCACCCGATACTCCGAGGCGGTAAGGGTCTTGTGCTTAAAGTGAGAGCAAGGTCTGGGATCTTGATGTCGAAAAGGCAGCGCAGCCGGCCTCTCAATGCAAAGACTGGTCTCAAATGGAGAGGTGATGCAAGTGAAAGCGCTGTGTGCCTCGAGTTGCTCTTTGAGCTCAGCTCTGGCACATTTCCTCCCCCAGGATGGAGTTCCGCGAAAGCAAGCTGCACAGGATCGGAGGTCCGGGAGCCCTAGCTATCACGCAAACACGGATCGTCTCTACCCGTTGTCCGGCGAGGGCGGGGCGGACATCCCATGTTCAGGATCCACTGCGTCGCAGCAACAGGCTCTTCAGCCGCTGGCCAAGCAGAAGATGCAGAGCCGGTTTAGGATTTCGGATTTAGGGTTCAGGGTTTAGGCCGCCACACTGAGAGCTTGCTCTTGCCTCCCTGTAACCGGCAGCTGAGGCGCCTGCCTACAGCCTTGGACATGACGGAGCAGGACATCTCGGGAGCCTCGGGCCTCCCAATGCTTCCAAGGGCAAGGGGTGGCAACAGCGTGGGAGTGCACAATGCACGATTTTTTGGGTATCTGATTGTTGTTTTTTACATTGAAACAGCGCAATCAAGCAAAAAGAAGCTCTGGTGATCAGCCTAGGGCCCATATGCGTAGCTTGCATTCTCGACAGGACGAGTACAAGACCAAGCAGCTGTTGCGGGAGCAGCAGGAGGAGCACTGTGTTGATTCGCATTGATTCAGCACATAGTAGGACCTGCACATTTGCGACATCGGCCCACCAACCAGGGCTGCACAGTCGCCACCATGAATGTAAGCTATTAGGGGGCAGCCGGGGGGGTTCATATTAGGGGAGGAGTCTCCCCGAGTTATGAAAGTCCCCCTGGTTCTTAGTAGGGAATGAGGGAAATAGGGCCCTATATCATGGTTAAGGGATGTTTCAGGGTACCTCATTCCCTCATTCCCGACTGAGAACCAGCCAGAAGTTGTCCCCTGAGTCCTGAAATCGCCTTTTGTGACGAGGAAGCGGAGAAAAGAGCCGAAAGGGAGCGGCTTGAAACGCTGCAGGCGGGGTGTTGGCCTCAAATGGCTTGGGTTTAGGGTTTAGGGTTTGGGGTTTAGGATGCTACGGGGTCACTTCGATAGCTTATTTAGGTGGCGAAGATTGCTTGCCACATCTTTGCGCATGGAGGAGTCCCCCGCAGCAAGAATCCTGTCCACCAAGAGCGGAATCTCAGCCTCGCAGATCGAAGCAGCCATAGGCTCTCGCCCCAGTGAAGAGCCATCGTGCTTTAGATCTCTGGATGCAACAGGGCAAGGATCATCACTTCTCCGCCTGCAGCTGAGGCATTGGGCCATACCTGAAGACAGACCGCCTGGAAGCTCAGATTCCGAAGAGCCAATCTATTCCCCTCGTTCTCTGTTCACTCCCCATCTTTCTGATCTTTCTGGGTCCTCTCTAAGTTCTACTTGGGGGTCGTTCCCCTCAGGATCACCACACATGTGCATGGCAGGAGTGGAATACTACTCGGCGACTCACTGCCGGCGATGGCCTTGGGAGCCATAGAACTCGAGGTAGGCTCCGAATAAGTTCCTCAATGACCTTTACACTGTATAAAATCATCTGACTTAAGAAAAATGGTATAAGATGGCACGCTACAACATTTGTCTCTTATATTGATGTGGTCATGGACTCCATTGGGGGGGCTCTTTCCCTCCCTGTGCAGAGGTTGCTGGGTTATTGGGTTTCGGGATTGGGGTTGGGCTTTGGGCATGGAGTTTAGGGTTTGGGGGGTTGGCGGCGTTGAAGGGTTTCAGGGTGTGTAGGGCTCATAGGGCTTACAGGTTTTGCCGGGTTTAGAGGGTTTACAGCCCCAAGACCCCAACGGTTGAAGGGGTTTGCAAGGCATACAGTAGGTTGTATGCGCGACCCCCCCCATCCCTACGTGGTATGGACTTGCAGGCTGGTGCCTTGGTACATATAGCTGGGGAGCCAATAGGTGATTGACCCTCGGATGCCAGAGAGAGAGTGACAAGTTGAATAGGGTTCTCAGGGTTAGGGCTGGGTTCAGTAAGATCGTTAGGGTTGAGCCCTTAAGCATATGGTTTTGGCGTGGGTTTTGGCGTGGATTTTGTCTTTCTGTGGGGTTTGGGTTTTGGGCTGGAACCCTAAACCCTAAATCCTAAATCCTAAACCCTAAACCCTAAATCCTAAACCCTAAATCCTAAACCCGAAACCCGAAACCCTAAACCCTCTCCCCCGCCGGGTAAGGTGGGTGCCGGCCCTGATCGAACAGCAGGGCCTCGACCCCAGCCCGGCGCCCCAGAGGGCCCCATATAATCCCTTAAAGAGTTTAGGGTTTAGGGTTAGAGGGTAGAGGGTTTAGGGTTTAGGGTTTAGGGTTTAGGGTGATAGGGTTATAGGGTTTAGGGTTTAGGGTTATAGCCCTAATTCCCTCGTTTGAGTACTAAGAACAAGGGAGGGCGACTGGGAGTTCTTTGGCCGCGAAGGATCCGAGGATGCGCTCTGGCCTCTTTAGGGGTTTTCGGCCTTTAGGGTTTTGGGGGTTTTGGGGCTTTGGGGTTTAGGATGTTTTAGGGTTTGGGGGTTTTTGAAGTTTAGGGTTTAGGGTTTAGGACGGCCAGGGGCTTAGGGCCGTTTAGGATCTCAAGAGAATCTCAACCCTCGTCCATGCTTCCGATAAAAAAGGGGGGGCTGCACGCTTACGGAGCCATTGGCCTTCCAGCCTTGCTTGCACTTTCCATTGCAAGCTGCACTTGCCACTGTGACAGAGTTGGAGAAGAAGCGAGTTGGCCTGTGGCGGCTCCCTTGAAAGGGGGGGGGGGGGTTGGGGGTTGGGGCGGACATTGACAAGGGGTTTACCAAAATGGGGGTGCCCTTTTTGGGGGATCCTATGATAAGGATCATAGGGAATACTAGGGGTACCCCTATTCTGGAGAAACAGCCAGATGCATTGGTGTTGATGTGCTTGTACGGGTGTGCAAGGCACGACAAATCCGCAGGCGATACGTAGACCAGTCTGAGAGATGCTTCGTGCAATCCTGTGGAACCCTTTAAAAGTTGGATCCTCCGTACCGTGTCTGCCCCATCTCCGGATCCCCCAAACACTAGGAGGAATGCTGATTCCCGACAGGAAATCGTGAACTCGGGGGGTTTGGGCTCATCTGGGGCTGGATGTCGTAGCTTCAGAAAACACAACCGTCTTAATCTCCGTCTAGCTCACCCCACCGCACGCAAGAGGCCCTCCACCCCCAGCCCACCCCCGCGGAACACGTCAATCAAAAGTGCGGGAAGACAGGCCGCGCCTACCCAAATCAACTCGAGATGTCCGAAACCACCCCATATCCACCCAAAGTCAGCCTCAAGTCCAACGTTCGCAGACCTCAAGCTTCATAAACAGAAGTTGCAACCAAGACCGTCTGATCAACATCAGAATCCTTTGTTTTCGATGATTACCTATACGAAGGGTCCCCAAGAATGCACCAGGTATTTTTGGTCCCATGCTCGGGCACGCCGGTTTCTAACCTGGTGGAGCTCTTTTCTTCTTTTTGGGGATGGGGTTGTACCCTGTATCACTCCTTGGCCTTCCCATGTCCAGGCACGGACGCCATCTGCTATGAGGTCAAGCTGGCGTCGAACTCACAGTGACACCGGCGCTTGCTTGTGCGGCTGCTGTTAGCTCTCGGGTCTTGGGAGGGCAACCTTGCAAAACTTCGGTGGAGGCCGTGGATCCAAGAATCTGTAAAGACCAGAGCTCCCCGCTGCCAGTAAGCCAGTTGACCTGCCACCTTTGTGTTGCGAAGCTTTAGCTGATGCAACACGGGACTGTTGCTGCTGAACTGCACGTGACGAACATGCAGCCAGGAAGCGGGCCCATGTACCACTGGAGAATCTGCGAGCACCACTTTTGATAGGGGAGTCGCTTGGCTGTGGCTCTCAACAATAGTGTCCGGATGTCGTCAGGGTGTACCAAGCTTCGGCAGCCCAATATCAGACGCCATGTGTTTGGTTGTCCCGGCAGCCAACGGGGCTCATTCCTGACTGTGGCGGCTTGTAACGAAGGCCGGTGTCGGCATGGTCTCCAAAGGACTCACGCTGGCGGGAGCCTTAATTTGATCTAGATTTCGGTGCTGCGGGCCAGTGGTGGCCTGTGTAGCCAAGCCAGGCTAACCAGCGAAGAGAATATCATATGGACAATAAGCTGTCCGAACGTGGGAGGTTGTTCTCTTCTGGCTGCAAGCTTCATGCTGTGATATCAGCTAAGTATTACCACATTCGGGTTAAACAATTGCAACCGTGTGCCCCACAGCAGACTAGAACATGTTGGAATCCATGTAACAGCTTCGAGTCACAGAATGTGAGGGCTGCTTATCCTCTGCACTTTCTAGTAGCAACCTGAAAGTGAAATCGATCTCAAGCTCCAAGTACCTAAGGATTGCAAGCCATGAGATTCTGAGTCGGTAGATGTGCCAAGGCATCTTGGGGAGACGGCGCAGCCAGCACGGGGCATAGCAAATGCAGCCAACGGCTGGGAGAAGGAGGCATAGGGACATGCTTCTGTTGGCCTTACCGCAGGTGGTCGACATTATGATTCACAGATTTTAAAGCACGGATGCTAATTCTGGGGCCTTCCCCAGGAGTGGTTGCGAAGTTGCGTTCGTGTTGAAAGAATCTGGCGACAAGGACGTTCCATAGTACAGCGTCCCAAAGAACTTGGAGAGTGAACAGAGTAGAAACTTTCCACATCTTCCCGCGGCACTCAGGTCACACTGGTGGCCTACAAGGTTATCGCCTTGACTGGCCGGAAGGCCGGCATCCTCCGATTGTAACTAGCATCTGAGATTTCCGTACCATTTCTATGGAGCCCTTCTTGGTCCAGACTACGAATAGAACTGGAGTTAGGATTATTGCGGACGACATGTTCAGAGCACGTATAGGAGTGAAAAGTCAAGGTGCGAGCACAGACTGTAGCCGCGAGCAGACGCGTAAGCCGAGCCCAAGCCTAAACTTTGCCCTGCACCCCGACTAGCTGAAGCCTTCATCATTGCTGCCATCGGAGGATCCCCTCTTCGACCACCTGCCACCACACCATGTGTGGCCAGCGGCCCAGGGACCTTTGGGAATGTCTTGTCAAAGAACTGTGTGCATGTGTGCGTGTGCGAGTGTCTCTCCCATTTACCTGACGGCTCGGTGAAAAAAAAAGCATTCATGGACCCCCCCCCCCTCCCCCCCATGGACCCCCCGCCCCTCCTTGGTTCATGGTGGGTTTTGGGGGTGTAGGGTTTGGAGTTTTCACTCTGCTCTCGGTGGTTCATGGTGGGTTTAGAGACTAGGATTATTTAGGGTTTCAGGGTCAGGGTTTGGGCGTTTAAGGTTTCGGTTTATCCTTCTCCCTTCTGTGCGCCGATGTTGGAATGGGAAGGGGTGGCGCGTCTGAGAAACTCCGCCAGTCTTCCAGGTAGTGGCCAACTAGTATTGAAGCGGAACAAAGAACGCACTGCATAGGAACTGCAACCCTAAACCCTAAACCCTAAACCCTAAACCCTAAACCCTAAACCCTCAACCCTAAACCCTAAACCCTCAACCCTAAACCCTTCGCAGTTGTAGGGCATCTATCGGAGGCGTCCCAAGCTTCCAATGCTTGCCACCATCAACAGATCCCTTGTTGCACGGTGTTTTCTGGGTAAGGTGCCTGGTTCACGCTAATGACTCATGACTTGAACTGTGCTGGGCTAAGGGATGTTCAGGGTTGTAGGAGGCCTGGTAGGCCCAGTTTTTCCTAGCTTGTACTGTAGAGTCAGCCCGACGTCCATATCCGGAGCCCCGCAGACCTTGGCCAGGCGCCGCTTCGAGGAAGGAATGGCGGTGGAGGTCTACCAGAATCCCGTACTAGGCCCTCCCCCCCTGGCGCCTTTGCATGACGCAGTGAGTCTCGGAAAGCATCCATGGGCACACTACAGCAAGATATGACAAGATATGACAAGATATGACAAGATATGACAAGATATGACAAGATATGACAAGATATGACTAGGCACCAAGAAAGTCCCTTGGCATGCGTTGCTTCGGAGGCTGGGTCAGTGCAAGAGTGGCGAGGGATGTTGGGAGCTCAGCCTGAAGTCTTCGTGTATTGCGCTCGGCTCCATGAACTCGACTTCCGCCCTTTGCTCCTCCCGGAGAAGGCTGAGATGGAGGACAAGCCGTACGAGGCGCCGGGGGAAGGCTCCCTACAGGCAATATGAGACATGCTGGTTCTGCAGGGACGATATGGTTCCATTCTTGATGCACAAAGGACGAAGGCAATCGCCGGGAAAAACAAATCCGACCACAACCGCTGGCTTGGCCAGGAAGCTGAGGATAAAGGGAAGCCTCCGAACTGGTGGGCGCCCCAGAGACTGAAGTAGCGCTCTTCACCCTTAGTACTCGCAATGACGCTGCCCCGACCCCATGCAAGGATACTGCAGCATGGCGGTCTTGGGTGTGGATGTCACTGTTCCAGGTTCAAAGTGCTTGTTGAGTACATCGACTCGGGAATGAAGGAGGACGCCAGAGCCCGAGACCAGCTGCCTAATAGTTGCCTTCGCTGTGATTTCTAGATTTCGAAATTGCATCATTCCTTCTGAAATTGGTCCCCTCACAAGACATCGCTGGCTTAAACAGGGTCTCCTGATCCGGAAGGGTCCTCCTGCACCCTCCAGGAGGGACGGGTACAACTGTTTTGACAATAGGCCCACAGCGAATCGGCTCCAGGATTTTTGCTGTAGTGGCTTCAACGCTCTCCGGCCAAGCCAGTCCCTGCACAGTGGCATGCGGCACGCACAAACTGTCAGGAAGCCTTTTGATTTCGAAGACCGCGAGCAAAAAAAGCAGTGTCTGTCCCGGTTTGAGATCGAAACAGAGACATAGAGAAATCTGCTGTCAGGTTCCAGCATATCTCGTCCGCCGGGAATGCCTGCCTGATACCGAGATTAAGGGGTCACAGCCGTGCCCTGCATACCTAGACCCGACATCCACCACGTCTCAAACGATGAAAATCGGCCCTCCACCACTGACTGAGGTCGCTCTAACAAGAGCTCAACCACGCAGGTCGAGGTGAGGCCAAGGTGATGGACGTGCAAACCAAGCACCTTTCCAAACTAGTTAATGTGCATTCTCGCGTTAGATATTTGTATTTTGTTCATGCGATGAACGCGCCAGCTTGGGCAGAGCCAATGTGCTTTGCAATCTGCTTTGCAATCTGCTTTGCGAAATTCGTAGGGCAGGCAGACGACGACCCTTGTGTGGTATTCCTTCAAAGCAAGGTTGTTCACAACGAAAAGGAAGCGTTGCAAGTCTTCGCCTTCACGGCTTCACTTCCTTGCTCGCCTGGAGTGGTTCGGTGGATTCATGTCAGAAGGGTGCGGTTCGCAATTCCCTCTACTACCCCTCCGCCCTGCCCCTCCACCCAACCCGCCCCCTCCACCCCTTGATGTAAGCATTGCTCTCCCCCCCATATCGGACTTGCAGAGACCAAACCCCCAAACTCAGCAACATGATGACACGTCTACTGGGCCCGGTCAATTTCCCTGATGACAAGCTTGTTCAGACTCAGACAAGCTTTGGAAGTCGTCACGGGGTAGCTTCTCAGATTAGACGTCAATTGGCTTCCCTTTTGATCTCTATATTAGATTGGCGATTCTGATGATCATTAATTATCGGACAAGAAGATATGAATGAATTAAATATCTATTGAACGATATTATTTGATTGATACGAGGATCGGTTCAAATAGGCTATTGAAGCTCTCGTGGAT